GTTAAGTAAGGTTACGCGTAAGGTTATAAATCACTCGAAAATAGAAACATTGAAACTTTAGGACAGTTCATATTGGAGAAAAATCTTCTATGCTCTGATACAATGAAATTACCTCTTTGGAAGACTAAATCGACATAAATTATGATTTTAGTGTGCGTGCGTGCGTTCTATACACAGCTTCATACTGAAGATTGTGGAATGTGTGTTACAAGCCCTGTTTAACGAAGGGTCTGTTGGAAAGAATATTTAAAGTCTTATCAGATTATAGTCTTAAGCTCGCATGCATATGAAACATGTTGGATGGAAATTTAGCAGCAAAATTATTTTCACCTGGACATTCCACCAGTAAGCCAGAAATTGAGAAAGAAAATCATTCCTTTATTAAGATTTTATGATGACTTAATAAGAAATTTGTTTCAAACATAAACACCAACAAGAGGCTTTACATTTATTTTTCTTTTAAACAATTAAAACTGCATGCCTCCAGATGACCCAAAATATTTCAAGAAAAAACATACTAAACTTTGAGTAAAAAAAAAACAAATTAAAGGTTCAAGTGATAATGTATATCTTATGTGCAATTAATGACTGTATTTTGTAGTATTTATCACCATATTTCTACTGCGTTATTAATGCAGTTGGGCTATTTATGCATATTCTGACCTCTTTTTGGTAATTTACGTGGATTTTAAGTGCCGATTGAAATGTGTCAAGTACTTTCTTTGTTCATTTTACAATATTTTACCTTTAAATACATTTTCAAAATTTTCATGAAAATTAGGATGAATCTGCAGGCGTGCTGCTTTAAAGTACATAGTGAAATTAACATATGAGCTGTGTCACGACAAAACCAACATATGTTAAGTTCATTATTGCCTTGGATGTTTGTTTAAATCCAACAATCAAATTCTTTCTTTTGCCCGCCCTTGGTTTTATCCTAAAACTAACAAGGGCAAAACCTGTTTTTATGCAACCTTGTAACGCTTTCTAGAATCTAGAAAGCACATAGTGTGACGTTTTCTTTTTTTCCTAACTGCCTCAGAACTCCTTTCTCAAGTTCATTGATTAAGAAATATTTATTGGAGTGAAACATTTAAGTGAAGAACGATACAAATTCAGTTATGATAAATAGTTTACCTATTCAATATGATAAATAGTTTACCTATTCAATACGAAGAAAACGTTCAAGTGTCAGACATAAACAAAAAATTCTGTTTTGCACTTTCGATAAACTGCATAGAATTTGAAGAATTTACTTCAGATATATAAAAAAGAAAGGACAGGAAATATACTGGGTGAATAAATAACTTATAACCAACTTTCAACATTAAAGGGAGGTTAATTTAGTTAAAATTTGGAATAAAGGTGACAAAATAATTTGAGTATTTATAAGTATAGGCAAGGTAAATGACGTCAGACACAAGAAGAAACAGTGAGAACATAGAATTTTTTTCAGCAAGATCCTATTAAAAATCAATTAGGTAAAAGTTTTAAGTAATAATTACCACTGCCAAAATGTTTGAACCTTTGACAGCGTACAGTAATATTATCGTACCAAAACTCATCGTACAGATTAATGTTTGGACAACAAGACGTCAATAGATATTTTTGCACAAAAGCATTTGCTATGTAACGCTATAATGAGTATTTAGATAAGTTGCAAGCAGAACTTACATTCACGGTATGGGCTCTCATCTCATCATATTTTCACCGACACAAAATCAGTTACAGCTAATTTACCTTCAATATCTTTTTTACTGTGATGTTTAGGTCAGAGCCCCACTTGATCCACGTAAAATTTGGGATTTTGATAGAAAATGACTCTAGCAATTTTATAAAATATACCCACGCTGACGGGTGTTAACATGCTTAAATCCTCCATTACTCCGCATCGTACCTTTTCACATCGCTTAAAAAAATATCGTACCTCTATACGTTCGACACCCCCTAAAATAATAATAGACTTAACCACACAAATTGACGGTAGTGAAATATTCACTCATCTGATAATTCGAATTGGACAGATTTAAGCCGTGTGGAGATTTTAACAAGAGAAAAGTATTCTACTTAACAGTTCTCAACTTTGCCAACAGCAAAAGAAACATGTGATATATTGAATTGAATTTATTTGGTACAAATTACTTTTCATTGAATAGATCATATATTAGAAGTTACCTACCGGCTCTTTTGTTAAAAGCGGTCTAGTAAACCACAACAGGTCTGAAAATATATACCGACCTATTTTTGTTCTATTGTTCTCTATACAATAGAACATATGTGAAGTCGAGAAACTCGTGCATTACACAATATTTACCGTAAACGCAGAAATTTTGAAAAATAACGCTGAATTGTGCAAACTTATATGGGGATATGACCATCCTGAATTGGAAAAATATATCGATATATATGTCGATATATATTTTAAAGTACGTTTCAATTAATAGAAAAAAATAGCGCATACGGCTGTTAGGACCCTCATAACATATATTCAAGATTATTTGTGAGAAAAACGAACTGGCTACTGTTCTGGCGTTGAAGTTTGTGTTTCGCCGATATTAATGAGTACAATAACGCACATTAAACCTTTCTTTATAGTTTGCTTCCCGGTATACCTAACACATTTTCGGCATTTATTTCCACAACTATGTCTGATTTTGCACAAACCTGCATTATCTTAACAATTCTGCATTATTGAATATATACGACGATTATATTATTGGTGCATATCGAATCAATGTCAACTTCTGCATCTTTCTTTCCCAAAATATTACTTTCAGTGAGAGTATAGTTCATCTTAATTAAATATAAGACCGTTTTTTTCTCATTTTTTCACAGTTATTTAGATGTCAGATTCTGTTACGGTAGATAATGAGAACAAGTTTAGAATACTTGATATTTAATTTGAGTTATAAATAATAAAACCTATTATCTTTACATTAAATTTTCCATTTATGTCGTGATACTGTATATAGATCAACGACTATTTAATATATGGATATATATGTCTGCATTTTTTCTCTTGCTTTATTTTATATATCAACTTGAAAATTTATATGTAAAGTCCACAAAGATGACAATTTTTTTTTAAATTTTTGAGTGATTGCCTTTTGTTAATTTCATGTTCCAAATACTAAGATCTAAAAGATACACAAATAGAAAGGGTGAGGGGTTCAATAATGAGAAGGCATACATTGTTGATAAAAATATAACATTGCGCATGACCACCGGAAGACGATGGCACGATAGTGAAAACGCGATGGCACGATGGTGAAAACGCGATGGTACAATGGTGAAAACGCGATGGTACGATGGTGATAGCGCGATGGTACGATGGTGAAAACGCGATGATACGATGGTGAAAACGCGATGGTACGATGGTGATATCGCGATGGTGCGATGGTGAAAACGCGACGGTGCGATGGTACAATGGTGAAAACGCGATGGTACAATGGTGAACTCACGATGGTACGATGGTGAAAACGCGATGTAGCATCGCGTTTTCACCATCGCACTATCGCACCATCGCGATTTCACCATCGTACCATCGCGTTTTCATCTTCGTACCATCGTGTTTTCACCATCGTGCCATCGCGTTTTCACCATCGTATTATCGTGCATCGCGGGTACAGACTAAATAAAAAGTCACGACTGTACAAACGGAACACCGTACTTTCGAGATAACCGCGCTAGTTTCTCGTTAACACGTTCGTAAACGCAAATATAACGATAGCTTCGAGTAATAATTTCTACACATTTAACACAGCTGTCAGTTTTAAAGTTCACTAAACGTAACAATATATATTTTGGTAAATGTTGTCTAAATGTTTTTATGTGCATGTTCCAAATAAAGTTTCATTACACAAAATCATCTTGTTCAAGCGCACTTTGGTTGCAAACTTGAAGTCCAAGCATTTTTTGTTGCAAACTTATGTTTATTATTTTTCAGTCAAACTAATGAGTCTATATTTTACTATAATTGTTGTTATTATTTATTTATTTATTTATTTAGTTCCATAGTAATAAAAACGCCATGTATAGATTCTGGTTAGAATTTGAAGAAAATGTTAGAAAAATACTTTTGCTTCATTTAATTTCATTTTATTCAGCTATTGAAAGTTAATAATAAGTGAATACCAAATGTACGATTTTCAAGGACGGCAAAGCCCAGAATGAAAATAAATAAGAAACTGCTGACGAGCGACTTACATGTACATAAACAAATTTACATTTTTGTGGCAAGGGGGCGTGATGGATTTTGCACTTTTTCATTATCCCTCATATTCAAACTCAATCAATCAAACCGAGTTTGCTATTTTCATGTAATTTTGCTGTTTTTAATGCTTCCGAGGATCACTTTTTTCCATATATTGATACATTTAATTGTTTGTGTTGAGCGCACAATAGCATCATAACACGACAAAGTCTATGCATTAATTGCAAAGTCCGTGATGAAAGTTTTATTTACGATGACAAGTTTACCAACTGAAATATTCTTTCAAACCGTTTCTAATCTATTCTTCTGCTTGCAACTTCATTTAAGCTATTTTGTACGGAACCGTTAAAGGGCCTCCAAAAAGTGTGGTCGGTAGATTTCAATTCGATTTATTTTAGTCATGCCTGTTTTGTCCTTTGATCTATAGTCTTCATAATGTAGCAGTTATTTATCAAATAATGATAGCAATACATAACAAACTGCTGAAAATTAACATCTTAACAGATTTCTCAATTAATTTAATATGCTTTTACTTTTATAACGTTTGTTTCATCTTTGATTGAAATAAATAAATAAAAAAAAACAACAAAAATACGAAACATCAAAAACAATTGACTGGAAACAAAATACATAATATGCAAAACAATCCTAAATAACATCTTTTTAACCTTGAAACATCTATCCATTTTTACAAAAAAAAATATTCGAAGACCGGCACAGACCGGGAGGGACCGGAGACCGGAAGTGACCGGACCGGAGACTCCACCGAATAGTATATCCCGCTTCCGGATTTAAAAAACGGTGTTTATGTATAAAAATCCTCACGTGTGCTTTCAGTTTCATGTCAATGGAATGAAAACATGGAAAACATGTCCCATACACTTCAGTTAGGATTCAAATAAAATGCACAAAACTAACGAATATCTACTTTCAAGAGTAATAAAGAACTGATCAGGAAAACAGCAAACAGAAAGTAAGATAAGCCCAGTACACTGATCATCAGTTCAGTACTGTTTACACTGCTTTAGCACCACGCTTTTTAGCATCGTTTTCTTTCATCTGTAGAGTGTAGTGACTCACAATTTAAAAAAGAAACGCTGATGTCCATAAACTAGGGTCCTTGGAACCCCGTTTTTGAGATTTTGAAAGACCATAATAGCATTGTAGTAAGCTGGTAAAATTTGAGGCATTTACCAGGTCTAGGATTTCATTAGTTCTGGCTTCCATAACTTTATATGTCGCTTTTATTTTGACGTTGCGACAGTAAAGTTATGGGTCAACCCTATTTGCAAAGGCTACCTGAATTTGGCAGTTTGTGCGCCGTACATAAAAACCTATTAAAATCACCCTTATTAATCAAATTTGGGTCAAATAAAATTACCATTTTTGATAAACAAATCAATTTTGAATCAATTCATGTTTTGTTTTTAAATGAAACTTCAATGACATTGTGTACCCAACTATTTTTTAGGGAAATATGTAGAGAATGTTTACCAATATGGAGTCTGCTTTTCAAATGAAATTTCACGGGACTTCCAAGTTTTGGAAATTCTAGCATCTATTTTTAGTAATGGACCATACACTATTTTTAGTAAGTGTATGATTTTATATAAAAACAAAAAAGTAATTCATGAATCATCACTCAAAACAATATAAATTCAACGTGTTTTTGGTACAATGTCTTGTTATTGAATAAATACACCGTTATTCATAATTGCGAACCATGTTTTTAATTAAAAATAGCATTTGGGTCATGGGTCACCAAATGTCATGCAAAGGTATCCGAACCTAAATTCTCGCTAGTCACATGATAATTAGGGCAGCAATGGCGGCAAATTTTATGAAATGTGAACCTGCTGATAAACTTTGAGGCATTATTTCATCATTCTAACGTTCTGTGTTCAAAAATATAGACTGAAGTGTCCCAAATATATCTAACTACCTGTATTAAAATAGCTTTTGTCTAGATCACCCAAATTTATTGAATTACAACATGACATAAATATGTCACGGTTCTGGTTGACTTTGATACGGGATTGGCTTCAGCGAACAGGTCTAGCAGTACTATAACACCTGTTTGCTGAAGTATCTTTAGCTAGGATTTCATGATATTTATGGACAGTCTGTACATTTTTGGAAGATCCATAATTTTACAGATTTTTTTTATCTGTAAATTTACAGACATGAAGTAAGAAAATAGCAGAAGTTGCATTAAAAATCAAAACCAGAGGTTAAGATGAATAGGTTACGTATTATATGAATAACGTTACGTATTATATGAATGAATGTAACAGTATCATCATCACTATGGTAAGATTCAGAACAATTTGATGACTTTCAATTTTCACTTTTAACAAATATTTCAAAATCATCATACAAAGATGAAACTCACCCCATTACCTTTGTAAATATAAACAATCAATAAAACAACTTGTCTGAAGCTGCGGATTTAAGTGTAAAACTAAGAACAGCAAATTTCACATTAAATATCTGTAAATTTATGGATTGAAAAATCTTTAAATTTTTAGACTATCTATAAATTTACAGACTGTCCATCAATATAATGAAATCCTAGACCTGTTTACTAGTGTTGCCTAAGTCCTTCATCTGTTCATTGAAAGACATTGCATAAAATTTTCTTTCTTTTTACATGACTGTATAGATTTTAGAAAAATAATTATGTACCTTTACGCACTTTGAGGCTAGCTGTACAGTATTACCTAAAACAATAATGAAAATGCAAACTTGTGTTTCTAAAGAGATTTGATTGACTATCATACAGTAGGTATATTAATTTTTGTGCCTTATGGGGGGTGGGGGGTCATTTATATTTACCCTTGTCCTACCGTCCGTCTGTTCTCAGGCTTATTTGCATTAAAACATTGAACCTGTCAGACATTTGTCTATTGCAGAAACTTTGATATTTTGGCCACTGAAGTCCCTATCGTTTGCCATCGTAAGAAAAGCATCTGCATGCTTAAATCACTTGTATTTACAACTATTTCACAGAAATGATCACCATATTGAGACGACATGTCGCATGCAACATTTGGGTCGCTACCTTGAAGGTCACAGCATGACCTTGCAGCAAAATTGTGTCCGGTCCATAACTTTTTTATTTGAAGTTAGATTTAACAAATATTTCACAGAAATGATCACCATATTGAGACGACATGTCGCATGCAACATTTGGGTCGCTACCTTGAAGGTCACAGCATGACCTTGCAGCAAAATTGTGTCCGGTCCATAACTGTTTTATTTGAAGTTAGGTTTTACAAATATTTCACAGAAATGATCACCATATTGAGACGACGTGTCGCACGCAACATTTGGGTCGCTACCTTGAAGGTCAAGGTCACAGCCTGACCTTGCAGAAAAATCGTGTCCGGCCCATAACTTTGTTATTTTAAGTTGGATTTTACAACTTTTTAACAGAAATGATCACCATATTGAGATGACGTGTCGTGAGCAACATTTGGGTTGCTACCTTGAAGGTCAAGGTCACAGTATGACCTTGCAGCAAAATCATGTCCGGCCCATAACTTTGTTATTTGAAGTTGCACTTTTCAACTTTTTCAGAGAAATGATCACCATAATTATTGAGATGATGTGTTGCGCGCAACATTTGGGTCGCTACCTTGAAGGTCAAGGTCACAGCATGACCTTGCATCAAAATTGTGTCCGGCCCATAACTTGGTTATTTGAAGTTGGATTTTACAACTATTACACAGAAATGATCACCATATTGAGACGTGTCGCACGCAACATTTTGGTTGTTTTTTTTTTCACATATAACTTTGTTTGTGACATAACTGACACTACAAGAGGTGAATCTTCCTGTGTCCAAAACCTATTAGGGTAGCATCGCCCGGTTCAACCGGCTCTTGTTTAACAATTTAAACTTGTAAATAACACAGAAATTCCATCGCCTCCAAATACTCTAATTAAAAATATATTTATATCTGATATATCTATCCTATATCTTATAACATAAATGGCCGAACATCCGACTTGATATTTTATTCATTCGTAAAATTACATGTATTTGGAAAATATATGTTTATTCTTTGTGAAAATGTAATAAGACCTTCAAGTTACTGACTACATCATTGCATTTATTTATTATTGGAAGAAAACGCTGTATTGCTAGTCTAAACAGTGTGTATAGGCTAGCTGTTAGTGTTCAAAATGTTAAATTCTGTTAATTTTTTTTATTTATGTCCTCAGCGAGTTTTACAGCAAGAAATGAACATTTGTAATAATCAGGAGCAGTCTTATCTGCCATATAAAATTCTTATAGGATTGTTTATTATTTTATGAACATATTCTAGAAGAAATTCTATTTGATGAAAAGAAGACAAGATAAATCAATGGCAGTGGCAGTACATAGGCAATAGGGTGCTCCCATTCCCCTTTTACACCTTCCAAAGTTTTATGGACAGTAATCTAAGAGATAATGTGTATAGCTTGTAAATGGGATATTTTGAAAAGAAATAAATTGCTATCACCATAGGTTATCTTCCCTTGTATTAATACTATGCTTTTAAATTGGTTTAGTATTTACTATAAATACTATGTTTTTAGGATAGTCATACAAACATGTTTATGATTGACTGACTGGCTAAAAAATCTGTGAAAAGATACATGTTGGGGCCAGACAAACAAACTACCAGTGCATCAAATGTACTGTTTCAAGAGGGCTAAAGAACCTACCTTCAAGCTTCAATAAATAAATTTTAAAGTGAAAGATATTTTACACATGCACATTACATTGATCATGTTGAGGTATACCGTATTAATGTGTATAAGTTTTTGTTTCTACTATTATTATTGCTATACATTGCTGTGGCAGTGCATTTCTCCTATGCATTTTAAATGCAATTTTTAGTTGTTGAATATAAAATAATTGAAACAAAAATGAAGTAGTACAGCTTGATAAAAAAACTCTGAGTGACTTTAAAGGTCTCTAGCCCTTCAAACAGAGCTTAGAATCATCCAACAGATATCCTTGAGGTATATTGCTAAAGATATGAAAGAAAAACAATGAGTTGAACTTTCAGTTCAAAACACCTTTCCTCCTTTATACTAGCTTTTAAAATCAGGCATTTTGTATAATATTGAAATTGTATGAATATTTAAACTTAATTTGAAAACTCTCTTGCAGAACAATGGATTTCAAATCACGGATGGATTACAGATTTGATCAACTGAAAAAAGATGTTATCCATGTTCTAAAGAAGCACCCAGATGGGGTTCCCAAGAGTGATATATGGTCTCTTGTGCATAATGACACTGGACGGATCATCTCAGCCAAGCAATATGGCTTAAAGAAATTGAGTAACGTCTTAGAGAGATGGACAGATGACATTAAAACAGAGTTTTCCGGAAAAACGCCACGTTTGATGTTAAAGGATACATCAGTATATTCAAATGATTTTTCAAAATCTGTAGGGAACGATTCATTTGCTTCAGGAATAATGGCGGAACTTAAAAGGCGGACAGAGAAGGCTGGAATAAAAATTCCAGCTACTTCTACAAGTGGATGCAATGATGATATGCAGGATTCACCTGATTCTTCAGAATCAGATGATGACAGTGATACTACTAGTGAAGAAAATACAAGCAACAGTGCTCTTCTTGTAAGACATAAGTGCCTTGTTAGGCAATGGGTTTTGGATTTTTTTCGCGAGGAGCAAATTCTGTGTTGTGGTTTTTCCAAATTAAAAAAGTATGTGATCAAGAGGATGCAAAAGCATTTTGACAAGACATCTTTGAAAACAAATACATGGAAGACTTTTTTATATGGCCATTGTAAAGATTTAGTGAGGTTGAAAGTTACAAAAAAATCTATCGAAGTGTATCTGTTGAAAATAGATTATAAGGAAGGAACTCAAAGAAAGGAAGTTAAAGAGAAGGAGGGACAACCATCTACGGCAATGTCTTTGTTGACAAAAATGTCAACACTGAATAGGAGCAAAAACTCTTCAGAAGACGCAAAATGTATTTCACTGCAACTTGATGAAAATCCAAGCAAACAGACTGAAATTATTGATCTTACAAACGAATCAGAACCATCTGTTTCAAACTCTCAAAAGAGTGGTAATACTAGCAAATTTGGGGATTTTTCAGTGCCTTTTAACGTACTGCAACCTATGCGCGTTGAAAGTAAGCCAATTAAATTAGGAGAGTCTTCTGCAAGTGCAACTTTTGGGTCTGGTGTTAGCAATATTAGAGAAAACTCATTTCTTGAATTTGAATCATCTCTTCCAGGAATACAAAATAGAATTATTGAAATCATCAATGCTCCGATAAACACAACTCCGTTTCCAGTAAAGAGGATAGATGTGAGACAGGTTCATGTGCCACATGGTAGGTTACCAGCAAGAGAATATGTTGATGATATAGCCAAAGAATGCATTGAGATATTAGCAGACGCCAATGAAAGCGTGACAATGGAGAGAGTGGAGCAGATGGTTTGTCAACGATTTGGTTGTTATAACATTAGACAGCTAGGTTTTCAGTACACTGATCAGATTCCTTGTATCAATGAACTTAATCGTTTGCTGAGTAAGATTAATCTCTATGTCATTGCTTTTGTGAAGGCTCGGTCCATTTGTACCTTGTATGAATTAAAGGAGGCGATACAAGATCATGAGGCTGGGTCAGCAGATTTTGAATCTCTTAGATTAGGACCATTGCAGCGTCTTCCTGTGGTATATCAGCAGTTTCACTTTCCAACAGATCATGCAGAAATTCCACAGGTTACTACCATGGACATACTGGATCATTTTCAGAATTACCTGACCAAGTTTAGATTGTGGTCAGGACGATTGGATCTTGAACCATTCTTGGATTATTTGGCAGAAGAATATGACGTTCCCAATTACAATATGATAGGATGCAAAGTAAGGTCATTGCCTTTAGCAGCTACAGTAAGTTGGTTTCTTATAAGTAACTTGAGTGTTAAATTTGCCTAACATAGTAGACATTTTACTATAAAAAAATTCTAAAACATTTTTTTACGTCACTTAACCACGAATTGTTCAAGGTGTGCTTGTGAACACCCTGTCCAGCATTCATTGATATTAGCATTTTGATACTTAATAACATCTAGACGGTTTGGCCAATTGCGATGAAACTAAACAGATTTTTGAGGAATGATTCTAAGGTGATCCTCTTAAAAAATTGCTTAAAGGTTTAAATCCACAGAACAAAATAGTTGCCAGAGCTAAAAATAGGGAAAAAAAACCCTTTAAACAACATGTGCTCAACCCCATGGCAGATTTTGATGAAACTTTACAGCAATCAGCATTAGGTAGTCTTTTTGGTTCAGGTCTGATGAACAAGATGGCTGCTAGAGTAAGCTTTGAACAACATCTTCTCAGTCTCTTCATATATTTTGACGAAATTGTACAGAAATGGTCCTTAAATCTTCCTTCAAAGTTTACTAAAATTGCTTTTATCAAGCGATAAAATCACCGATTTGGATATATCATTTCAATTCTAACATGACATCAATAAATGCTGCTGTACCTGATATTAAGCAAATGCCCCAGACTTGTTTCGTACTTATTTTCAGCATGTCGCATTTTTAGTGGTTTCGTCGAATGTCTAAGGGTTATGTCACATGTCTAGAAACAGAGAACGTCAACAGTGATTTTATTGCATAATAACACAGACTTTCAGTCCTTCTATATTCAAAAGGGATAAATGTGGGTCATGTCAGAATTTTAGATAAATTGTTACTCCCCTACCGGTTTACCGGAGGGGACTTTAGGTTTACCCTCCGTCCGTCTGTCCGTCCGTCCGTCTGTCTGTCCGTCCGTCAGTCCGTCCGTCCACAAAACTGGATCCCGCAATAACGCAAAAAGTACTGAAAATATTTTAATGAAACTTGATATATGGATAGATGGCAGTATGGAGATTATGCACGTCTTTTTCTTTTCTTCCTATGTTGAAAATTCTGGTTGCTATGGCAACAAATAGACTGAAAATATGGCAAATTTTACACATAACCTGGATCCCGTGATAACGCAAAAAGTACTGAAAATATTTTTATGAAACTTGATAAATGGATAGATGGCAGTATGGAGATTATGCACGTTTTTTTCTTTTTTTCCTATGTTGAAAATTCTGGTTGCTATGGCAACAAATAGACTGAAAATATGGCAAATTTTACACATAACCTGGATCCAGTGATAACACAAAAAGTACTGAAAATATGTTTATGAAACTTGACATATGGGTAGATGGCAGTATGGAAATTATGCACATCCTTTTTTATCTTCCTATGTTGAAAATTCTGGTTGCTATGGCAACAAATAGACTGAATTTCAAGATTTCTGATTCTAGTTTTTAAGTTTTTTCACTATAAGTTCTTTATTTCTTAAGGTATTTTCTTCAAACTTTAAATGTAAGTTGATTGTCATCAACCACATCATATGTGACAAGGTTTACAACTCTAGCACAAAATTTATCAGAATTACCTCCCTTGAACTTAAAATTTTCATGAAAAAAACATTGTTTTTTTTTTAATAACTTCTTTTTCTGAATGTATCTACTTCAAACTTCATATAAATGTTTCTTGTTGTCACTCAACATTTGTGAGTGTTCAATACTCTAGCAAGACTATTTCCAGAATTATGCCCCTTTTGAACTAGACTTTTTTTTGAGAAATTGGTAATTTTTACTCCAACTTCTTCAATCATGATAGGATTTAAAAAAATGTTACATTTTGATAACAGGGATGTTTAAAAAATAACTTTAGAGTGTCCTTCAGTCTATCTGTCTGTACATAAAAACTGTTTCCTGTGATCACTTTTCAAGAACTTTTCCAACAAATTTACTTAAAATAGGAACCTAAGTGAATGGCCAATGGCCCTTCAGAATGTTGCTTGGGCTCTTACCGGTAGGGGACTTATGGATTGCTCGCAATACTATGATAATTGCTTGTTTCATATATAATTCTTTCATAACTTGTTATGTATGATACTAAAGACTATCAACATGATTATGATATTTAAGACCTTCTATTATGAACCAATTCACTCTAAACTAATTCTCCTGCTTTACAAAAAATTGAAAAATTGCTCAAATTTATCCAGTCTGTTGAACATCTTGTCCAGGCACACCATATCCTCTGATGATCAATTAAGGACCATCATTACCTAATTGGTTTGGTTTAAACATATTTATTTAAGCTTGATTGTGAAACAAGTTTTTGTGTCTCATATTAATGACTTTTGAGTCTGCTTCCTGGAACCAACCAGTACTTGTGACATATGAAGAAACATGGTCCTGACCTGATTAGGGCTGGAACCCATGATCCCCAGCTTGAGAGGCAAGCACCTTAACCCAGGGCTACCATAAAGTTTCAAAATTTGGAAGTCTGCGAAATCTCAGATATTGACTGTTACATTCTATATGTAAAGAAGGAAAAGTATTAAATTTTGGAAGTCTATTTAAAGCTAAAATCAAGGAGTAAATGACTCCCAAACTTCCATTAACGGAAGCCCTGTTAACCACTATGCCACAGCTTCCCTTACATGTAACTAGGCCCCATTAGCATAATGAATTAATGACAGATTAAAAAGCATGTGAGCTGTTGCAAATAAAATCATAGAAATTTTTATGAATCAAAAGTAATTTAAGATATAATTTATGTGTTAAAACAGGTGTTGAAGAAAGCGCAGAGAGATTCACGAAATCAACAGCAACAGATAGTGAGGCATTTCAAGGATGAATTAAAGACACAGATAGGAGATGCCTTCAGGTAATGGTTTACCTCGGTGCCACAGATTTGAATAGCACAGAAATTAAAATTGTGTAAAAAAATATCTGATCTTTTAAAGCTTGATTGATATTTTGTAGGAGGAAGATTGTTTCTCTGTTTAAGATGTACTTAACAACTGTATTCATGGTCTTAACAACTGTATTCATGTACTTAGCAACTGTATTCGTCAAAGTCAGCTTTTGGAATTTAAGACTCTTGTACTTCAGTGATTTTCCTGCTTACATGTATTTAATAGACTCCGATAAAAGGCCTCTTCCCAATTGAAATTTTCTTTAAAATCATGCAGTTTTCCAAAAATCTGAACTTACACCAGTCCTGCCTTTTTAATTCCCAAATTAGCAATTAATTCCAAAATAAAGAGGCTAAGGCCTCTTCCCAATTTAGTGAGAAAAATCACTGTACTTCATAATACATTATTCTATATCAGTTTTGCCATTTATAGGTCAAAGGTCAACTTAAAATTACAATAAGAAAATGTTTCAGTATGATTTTATAATTTTATTTTGTTAAAAATTGAACTAGTACATTCATTTTTAGCTCACCTGTCACAAAGTGACAGGGTGAGCTTTTGTGATCGCTTTTCATCTGGCGTCCTTCCGTCGTCCGTCCGGCGTCCGTCCGTAAACTTTTACTTTAAATGACATCTCCTCATAAACCACTAAGCCAATTTCATCCAAACTTCACAGGAATGTTCCTTTGGTGGTCACCTTTAAAAATTGTTCAAAGAATTAAATTCCATGCAGAACTCTGGTTGCCATGGCAACCAAAAGAAAAAACTTTAAATATCTTCTTTTAAAAAACCCTAAGAGCTAGAGCTTAGATATTTGGCATGAAACATCTTCTAGTGAGTGTCTACCAAGTTTGTTCAAATAAAAGCCCTGGGGTCAAAATTGGCCCCGCCCCAAGAGGTCATTGATTTTCCCTATATGCATATAGTAAAAACTTTGAAAATCTTCTTTTATAGAATCCAAAGAGCTAGAGCTAAGATATTTAGCATGAAACATGTTCTAATGGGTGTCTACCAAGTTTGTTTAAATAAAAGCCCTGGGGTCAAAATTGGCCCCGCCCCAGGGGGTCATTGATTTTGACCCTATATGCATATAGTAAAAACTTAAAAAATCTTCTTTTAAAGAAATCAAAGAGCTAGAGCTAAGATATTTAGCATGAAACATGTTCTAATGGGTGACTTCCAAGTTTGTTCAAATAAAAGCCCTGGGATCAAAATTGGCCCCGCCCCGGGGGTCATTGATTTTTCCTTATATGTATATACCAAAAACTTAAAAATCTTCTTTGAAAAAACCCAAATAGCTAGAGTTTAGATATTAAGCATGAAACATCTTCTAGTGAGTGTCTACAAACTTTGTTCAAATAAAAGCCCTGGAGTCAAAATTGGCTCCGCCCGGGGGTCATTGATTTTCCTTATATGTGTATAGCAAAAACTTAAAAAAATCTTCTTTGAATAAACCCAAATAGCTTGAGTTTAGATGTTAAGCATGAAACATCTTCTAGTGAGTGTCTACCAAGTTTGTTCAAATAAAAGCCCTGGGGTCAAAATTGGCCCCGCCCCGGGGGGTCATTGATTTTCCTTATATGTGTATAGCAAAAACTTAAGAAATCTTCTTTGAAAAAACCCATTGAGCCAGAGCTTAGATGTTTAGCATGAAACATCTTCTAGTGAGTGTCTACAAAGTTTTTTCAAATAAAAGCCCTGGGGTCAAAATTGGCGCCTCCCCAGGGGGTCATTGATTTTGACCCTATATGCATATAGTAAAAACTTAAAAAATCTTCTTTTAAAGAAATCAAAGAGCTAGAGCTAAGATATTTAGCATGAAACATGTTCTAATGGGTGACTTCCAAGTTTGTTCAAATAAAAGCCCTGGGATCAAAATTGGCCCCGCCCCGGGGGTCATTGATTTTCCTTATATGTATATAGCAAAAACTTAAAAATCTTCTTTGAAAAAACCCAAATAGCTAGAGTTTAGATATTAAGCATGAATCATCTTCTAGTGAGTGTCTACAAACTTTGTTCAAATAAAAGCCCTGGGGTCAAAATTGGCTCCGCCCGGGGGTCATTGATTTTCCTTATATGTGTATAGCAAAAACTTAAAAAAATCTTCTTTGAATAAACCCAAATAGCTTGAGTTTAGATGTTAAGCATGAAACATCTTCTAGTGAGTGTCTACCAAGTTTGTTCAAATAAAAGCCCTGGGGTCAAAATTGGCCCGCACCGGGGGGTCATTGATTTTCCTTATATGTGTATAGCAAAAACTTAAGAAATCTTCTTTGAAAAAACCCAAATAGCTAGAGTTTAGATATTAAGCATGAAACATCTTCTAGTAAGTGTCCACAAACTTTGTTCAAATAAAAGCCCTGGGGTCAAAACTGGCCCCGCCCAAGGGGTGTCATTGTTGTTAACTATATGTGTATAGTTAAAACTTAAAAATCTTCTTTTAAAAACCCAATGAGCTAGAGCTTAGATGTTAAGCATGAAACATTTTCTTATGGGTGTTTACCAAGTTTGTTCAAATTAAAGCCCTTGGGTTAAAATTGGCCCTGCCGGGGGGGAGGGGGGTGGAGAAACAGGTGGGGAGGTCATTGTTTTTTATTATATGTGTGTAGTTAAAACTTAACATCATGAAACATCTTCTAATGGGTGTCTTCGAAGTTTGTTCAAATAAAAGCCCTGGGGTTTAAACTGGCCCTGCTCCGGGGGCCTATATACAGGTGAGCGACCTCAGGGCCATCATGGCCCTCTTGTCATTAGAAAATTCCGAGCATTTTAATTTTGAATTTATATTTTCATTAGAAAATTCCGAGCAAGCATTTTGGTAACAGGAGCAGGTGAGGGAATGGAAGTGCGACAGCATTATATGAAGATGAGACCTGAGCTAGCTTTATTAGAGATCTTTGACAAGTTCAACATTCTGTTTATGGTAACTCAGACAGGCAATAGGAAGTGGACCAGAAATGCTAAATTTAGACATCTTATTGGGGTAAGAAAATCAATATGTGAATGTATATTAAATGTGATAAGTGAATTGTAATTATGCCCTGGGCGAAATTGGGCGAGACCTACAGATTTTTCATCGTCCGTCTGTATGGAGTGAACCTATTTTGGTAAGTTGATTATATCTAAAGTTTTAGCTGTTCCAATGGCTTATTTATATAAGTAAGTTCATATAGAATCAGTGCATGCTTTGCTTGACTATTTGATGAATAGGGAAAGCTATTGAACTCGCCCAGGCATTGATGTCAATCACATTTTAGTTAAGCTTTTGTTATCCCCCGCCGATGGAATCGGGAGGGGGATATAGTTTTGGCGTTGTCCATCCCTCCGTCCGTCCGAATTTCGTTTCCGGAGTAGTTCTCTGCAACTACTGGCTGGAATTCAACGAAACTTTATGGGAATCATCAATATCAAGAGGAAATGCGCATATCGTCGGCTTGTTCCGGTCCGACCCTTTAACTCAGAGTTATGGCCCTTGATTAGTTATGTAGTATGCATATAGAGTAAAAATCATTTCCGGAGTAGTTCTCTGCAACTACTGGCTGGAATTCAACGAAACTTTATGGCAATCATCAATATCAAGAGGAGATGCGCATATCGGGGCTTGTTCCGGTTAGACACTTTAACTCAGAGTTATGGCCCTTGATTAGTTATGTAGTATGCATATAGAGTAAAAATCGTTTCCGCACTACTTCTCTGCAACTACTGGCTGGAATTCAATGAAACATTATGGGAATCATCAATACCAATAGGAGATGCGCATATCGTCGGCTTGTTCGGGTCAGACACTTTAACTCAGAGTTATGGCCCTTGATTAGTTATGCAGTATGCATATGGAGTAAAAATCGTTTCCGCGCTACTTCTCTGCAACTACTGGCTGGAATTCAACTAAACTTTATGGGAACCTTCAATACCAAGAGGAGATGCGCATATCGTCGGCTTGTTCGGGTCAGACACTTTAACTCAGAGTTATGGCACTTGATTAGTTATGCAATATGCATATGGAGTAAAAATCGTTTCCGGAGTAGTTCTCTGCAACTACTGGCTGGAATTCAACGAAACTTTATGGCAATCATCAATATCAAGAGGAGATGAGCATATCGTCGGCTTGTTGCGGTCAGACCCTTTAACTCAGAGTTATGGCCCTTGATTAGTTATGTAGTATGCATATAGAGTAAAAATCGTTTCCACACTACTTCTCTGCAGCTACTGGCTGGAATTCAACGAAACTTTATGGGAACCTTCAATACCAAGAGGAGATGCGCATATCGTCGGCTTGTTCCGGTCAGACACTTTAACTCAGAGTCGTGGCCCTTGATTAGTTATGCAGTATCCATATAGAAAAATATTTGTTTCCTCGCTACTTCTCTGCTACTACTGGCTGGAATTCAATGAAACTTTATGGGATACTAAGAGGAGATATGCATATAGTCGCCTTGTTCCAGTCAGATACTTATAACTCAGATTTATGGCCCTTGATTAGTTATGTAGTATGCATACATCTCATTGGCATTTCCAGATTTTACTATTTAACACAAAGTTATGGCTCTGTTATTGACCTGAATATTTATGAAGTTCAAAGAATATTACTGTTTATGCCATGATTAATATATAAATAAAGCCTTATGTCTTCAGTTGTTGTGTTAATAATAACCAGTACTCGGCGGGGGATATAAATTCAACGAATTTGCTTGTTTGCAAGTTGGTATTTCCTAAACTAATGAAGGGAATAGTTTGAAAATGCACACACTTTTTTAAGACATTCTAGGTGGTCACTGACCATGGCCTATAACTCTTGACATGAGTTTTGAATTATGGCTCTTTTTGAACTTGAAAAATTTGTATATTCTCAAGGCTGTAAATTGTATTTACTTCTCAAAATGTTATATACAAGTAATCACTGGAATAGTTGAGCTCTTGTTGTTTAAAAAATTACCCCATATAATGAAAAATATAGAATACAAAGAAGCGTCTTTGTCTAAACAATCTGCTGTAATTGGAATCTCTCCGCGGACGTTCTTACACCCATGTGAGGGCGGAATGACCCATTCGTGACCTTTTTAATTAGTCGATAGGTATTTGTCAAAGTACACAATTAGCGCAGAGCGGCAATGGAGCTTCTCCGTTCCCGGGAAGTGTAGACAGTGATTGTGAGAAATGAAACCGCGGGAACATCTTCAAATAAACCCCCACGGTAAAGGTAAACTTGAATTTGGAAGGGGTTTGTCTATTTTAGGCTGTTCTGTTTCAATAAAAGTCATCAAACGGTATTTTAGCTGCTTGTGGCGCTTAAAGTCGTAGCCCTTGTAAGTGTTTGGATTTAAGAATGTCCCCATCTTTGATGCTGGTTGATTGACAACATAGAATAATTTCAGTACCATTTCTGATTCTTGTTTAAGAACCTAGAAGTTTATCTCCTTTAGGTTTCTGAGAGGAGGAACATTATACAAATGTCAATGTCTATGTGCATACCTTTAAAACATTTTTATTGGCTATTTATAGTTTATGCAAGAAAAAAATGCTGCAGTAGCTAGAAATTTTTTGATAAATTTTAGAAAGAAAATGTGCCAAGCACTTACATGAGGAATAGTCAGATTGGTCTTGTTTATGTTACATGTGTTGATTTAATCCTTTTTTTTAATGCAGATGCATTGATTGAGTCAGCACGGACATACATTGAACGATGCTTGAATGCTGGAGCCATCACTCTTACACATCTAGATAGGATAGAGGAGAAAATGCTGGAAGATTTTGGCTACTCTTCCTTTAATATGATGGGCTATGGAAGATTTATTGAATTTTTGCTCCTTGAAATTAAACAGGTATGACTCTTTTTTTTAGTCTGCCAGCTAAGCTCAATAAGGAGAGTATTGGATAAGTAATGTAGGGGTTACTGGTTCAATCCTGGGGTGTGGCATAATTTTTTGTGACCTTTTATTTTGGACATTGAGTCTAAAAGTTATGTGTCTTTCACTGCTGAGTAATTAAATGGTTAGGTGGATAGAATGCCAAGATATGACCAAACAAAATGAGTTAAAATTTGTATAAAAAAATATATTCATAGTATTTAATTTTCAAGAAATTGTTTCGTTTAATTTAAAGCTAGATTATTAAAAAAGATAGTTAGGATCATGTCCAACTTATCCATATGTTAATGTATAAATTGGTTAAGGTTTTAATTGCAATTTAATATCTCATTTAATAGGCAAGGTGTTCACATGAAAAATAACGCATGTCTATGTTGTTATAGTAATTGAATGTTGACTCATGGCTAACTTAGACACTACCTAGTTGAGGTTTCGATTACAATTTCATATCTCATTTAATAGACAAAATAAAGTGTTTATATGAAACTTTTCACATGTTAAAACTCTAATCACTGTTGGTTAGAACAGGGTAAGGGTTAATTTGATTGGTCATTAAATGATATAACTAAGATTCAAGTTAACATTTCTATTTCAGTTATTAGAAGAATGTGGAGGTTTATCACTTGGCTCAGGATCAGGAGGGGTAGAGGCTGACTCCGCCTTTAAACCACACCTTACTGACCTAATTGATTTCATCAAACAGTGCAAACAATGTGGACAAACAGAGGTAAATTTCCACATTTCAGACACATATGCCAGCATTAATAATAGAAAAAATATTAAAATTCAGGACAAAACAAATGTATCCATAACACCATGTTAAGAATATTTAACCATTTACCTCAGGGCTAGCCTACAGAACGTCGGTGATTCTACTCGGGTACCAATTGATGGCTGAAATTATGCAAGGAGTTACACCTGAGGTCCTCCAGTGGTTTAAGTCATTTGGAAAGTCATCATTTGACCTTTACAATATTACTGAAATTTAAAAACTCAACATCAAAAAAAAAAAATAATAAAAATAAGAAAATCTTTCCCCCCTTAATAATAATCAGTTTAACTGTTTAACTTCATATGTGAGAATGCTGCCAAGCTACCACACTAACACACAGTTTATAAATGAGACTCCTTCCTGTTTTTGCAAGGTTACAGTTAATATACAACTTATTATAAGCACCCATGAAAGGTACAGTAATTGGAAGTAACAGGTGCTTGTTAGTCCCCTACCGGTTTACCGGAGGGGACTTTAGGTTTACCCTCCGTCCGTCTGTCCGTCCGTCTGTCCGTCCATCCGTCAGTCCGTCCGTCCGCAAAACTGGATCCCGCGATAACTTGAAAAGTACTGAAAATATTTTTATGAAACTTGGTATATTGATAGATGGCAGTATGGAGATTATGCACTTCTTTTTCTTTTCTTCCTATGTTGAAAATTCTGGTTGCTATGGCAACAAATAGGCTGAAAATATGGCAAATTTTACACATAAACTGGATCCAGTGATAACGCAAAAAGTACTAGAAATATTTTTATGAAACTTTACATATGGGTACATGGCAGTCTTGAGATTATGCACGTCTTTTTCTTTTCTTCCTATGTTGAAAATTCTGGTTGCTATGGCAACAAATAGGCTGAAAATATGGCAAATTTTACACATAAACTGGGTCCAGTGATAACGCAAAAAGTACTGGAAATACTTTTATGAAACTTGACATCTGGGTAGATGGCAGTCTTGAAATTATGCATGTTTTTTTCTTTTCTTCCTATGTTGAAAATTCTGGTTGCTATGGCAACACATAGACTGAAAATATGGCAAATTTTACACATAAACTGAATCCAGTGATAACTCAAAAAGTACTGGAAATATTTTTATGAAACTTGACATATGGGTAGATAGCAGTCTTGAGATTATGCATGCCTTATCTGTTCTTCCTATTTTGGAAAAATATCAGTTGCCTTGGCAACAAATAGGCTTAAAACATGGCAAATATAACAATATTTGTGATTAGTCAAAAAGAGCTGAACATTTTTATGAAATTGCATCTTTAAATTCAAGAGTTATCTCCTCTTTAAGAATTTTTGCTTTTAAAAATGGTATATTTTGGTAACAGGGATGTTTCAAATATTAACTTTAGAGTGTCTTTCAGTCCGTCTGTCTGTCTGTTCATAAAAACTGTATTCTGTGATCACTTTTAAAGAACTTTTCCAACAAATTTTTTTAAAATAGAGAAAAATTGAAACATTAGTGAATGGCCAATGGCCCTTCAGAATGTTGATGGGGTTCTAACCGGTAGGGGACTTATGGATTGCTTGCAATACTATGATAATTGCTTGTTATCACATGGTACACATAATTGTATAGGCTTGCAAGGCATGATCGAATACTTTGCAATGATTTCATTTATCCATGCCACTGTGAAGCAGCCTACATAAGGCTTTAGGTTTTGAAAAATTCTGGTATATGCCTGACATAATGTCTTCAAGGGCATTAGTACTAGTATAGGTAGAATAAAAGTAATTAGTTAGTAGTTTTTTATATTTGAAAAATAAAGTATTTCCTGGTAATTTAAAAAGACTGTTTTGAAAAAAGTAACTTTATTAGAGATAAAACTTGTGCACTACGTACATTTTCGATTATTTGATTTCAGCCGGATCAGATAAAGGAAGCACTATGTAACCAGTACAATGTTAAGGAGGTACGTCACCTTGGTTACGGGAATATAACACGCCTACTTAGCTACGCTGACAAACATGGTGGACATACACATGGGGAATGTTCAGTATCATATGAGTCTACTTTAGTTCAGTCAACAGGGTAAGAATTTTACTGTAACGAAATGTATCACATATCATTCTGCTTAACCCTGAACATGCTGAATATCTTAAATGGACTTGTCCCACTTCCATTTTTGGGACTGACCATTATCAATTTTAGGGATATCAATTTGAATATTTAAGATTTGTCAGCCAATAGTATAGAGCCTGGTCAGACTGCACTGGTGGCAAAGACTTAATGCTTTCGGGTCCAGCACTTAAAGGGTTAATACAGATACATTACAAAATAAAAATTCATGAAATTTCATACTTAATTATTAGAATAACTATATTATTTTATTGACTCAATAAGTGGATCTTTGGTGGTCCTTCTCAGGTGCCAGCTCCTACCTGAAATTATGCACAGAAGGGCACCTATGGTCTCCCTCCAAAAATAAAGCTGGAAAGTCCCGATACCATAGTCCTTTTGTCAATAATAGACTGTATCCCAAAATAAAAGGACAAGCACTTTACCCTAGTTCAGTGTAAGTACTGTTAAATTGTATTGGTAAATGTTGGTTATTTGTAGACAACAGGCCAGTTCCATCTCTAAAGTTGGAATACTCGGACATCAAACCAAAGATGCTGCCAAGATCTGCTTGCACAACTGCCCCCTACTGGAGAACCTGGCTGACTGGAGTCAGTGGAGTCTGGTGTTTGAGCCTGAACTTGGCAAGCTGAAAGATTTTATACTGAAATACGGGGGAGTTACAACAAAAACTTTAGAAGGTAATTGCTTGTAGGACAGAAAACATTGAAATTTATTGAAAATAATGATTTATCTGTTTTTAATGCATTTAATTTTTCCTTTCACTTCAATAGGTTGAAGGTATGAATTGTTGTGTTCATATTCTGATTATTCAGTCTTAAAAAAATTAAATTTTACGTGTGTTGAATAATAATAATCTTGCTTATTTAAAGTTCAATCTGGCTTATTTTAAGTTGTTTAGAGGTACAACAATTTTTTATCCAGCAATGCAAAGTTTAGAATCTAGAATATGACCTTGACCTCTCAATGATCATGACCTTTAAGGTCATATTTTCAAAATTTTGGAATTTTTACTTTAATTAGACAATTCGTTTACATCCACACACTTCTGGTGGCATTGTAACCATTTGTTGAACATATTAAGATACCAGTCTTATAATCATTTATATGTCTACAAACTACCCTTTCCGTAGTATGCAGCATTAACTGTCTGTCCGAGCGGGAAGGCGTGTTGCAAAATCATCCCCCGATGATCTGCAAAGAATATTTACATTTGTTTGCCTACTGTTTTACACACTTTCGCTTTCTTTGGATTTGGTGAGCTCGGTGATTTCCATTGACGGGATCGTTCCTTTGTCTCTGGATCAAATAAATAGAACCATGACTTATCAGTCATTACTATGCGGTCTAGAAAATATTCGCCTTTCCATCTGTACTGCTGTAGGAATGTTTTAGAGGTCTGGACCCTTCTCGTCTTGCGATCATCCGTTAATGATCTCGGGATCCATCTGGCGCTGACTTTAGACATATTTAATTATTCCATGATCACTCGCTGTACAGTCCCGTAACTGTGTCCAGTAACATCGCAAACATCTCGTATGGTTACACGCCTGTCGCTGAGAATAATGTCTTTGATTGTTTTAACAAACGTTGCATTAATGGTACATCTACGACCTTCTTTTGAATCATCTTCTAGATATTTCCTGCATTCACGGAATCGCTGATGCCATTCAAACACTTGTGTTCTTGATACTATCTTTCTATACTATGACTGTTTTACATAACCAACAGTCTATTGCTAAGATATGGAGCTTATTGTATTGATAACTAGGATAAAAATGATATATTGGCATCTTTTTGTTTGTTTAATTACTGTAGCATTTTGGTTGCAAAAAATGTGTATGATGCCCTGGAAGAGTTGTGTTGAAATTTTTTAGGTAGTGAATAAATACAGAAGTTCCCAAATTCCATGAGGCATTCCAAGTTCTTTTACATGTCTAGTGAAGAGCACAGCTGTATGAAATTATGGTGTTTTAGGTCTCATCCAAGAGACCTGTAGTATTTATGGGTTAGAAGTGGCATTTGATCAGTATCAACATTTATACTTTCAGGCGGGAAACTTGCTACCTTTGATATTCTGGCATTGGAATCAAGACCGGGTGATTATTTGAAGATAGTATCAACAACATCACCAGACCATGTGGTTGCAGCGCTGGAACAGAAGGATGCCATAGAAACTGCTGGTCATTTAGTGTCCATGTCTGTGGCATATAAAGGTGTTGAAAATATGCCCCTGGCTCTCCTGTCTGGACATGTTAAAACAGCTTTGTTACAAATGCATTCCGATGATTCCTCAAGTGATACTGCTCTAGGTAGATTTCTTAATGTCAATTGTTAAAATTATGTTTATGATTTTATTTTTCTGACATTGATACTTCAAAATAGTTAATGTTTTGAGCTTACTTTAATTATATATGGTTAAGTTGGGGCGTCCATGTTGGTTAAGGTTGTTGACTTTAAACCACTTGCCCCTTACCGCTGTGGGTTCAAATCTCAACAGGGACTTTGGATTCTTTCATATTAGAAAGCTATCCAGCTAGCTTACTGAACATGGGTGGTTCTACTAAGTTTCCTGCTCATGCCTGAAATAATTCATGGAACTTCACTATATGACATATACTGTGTCGGTGTGATGTAAAAACCCAATCAAACAAACAAATACAAGTTAATTTATGTAATTCATATTCTTTTTGATTTGATAATAAGGTTGCAAAGAATTTAGTGTTATTAAAAAAAAAATGAAAGGTTTCTTAAGTAAAGTTAGTTTTCTGTTCAAACTAATAATAATATATTTCTCTAGGTTATTAGGGTTTTAAATCAGTTTATATTTGCATTTTTTGAAATCTAGGAAAAACAGGAGATTCTTCCCAGCACAAAGCAGTCACTTTTGTTAAGAAGTGTTTGTTAACTATACCAACGAAAGTCTGTGTTGCCCTTGCCAACCAGATATTCCTTGATCCTCTTGGACAGGTTGTAGGATCGAGCAAGTCCAAGCAATTACTTATACAGTTGTGCGAAACCACCACCGAACAGAATAGACTTGTGCAGCTTGGGTGTTTACTTGGAATACATGAATGGACGGACATGATTCAGCAGAAATGTAAACTTTCAGCATCATCCATACAGATTTTACCTCCTGAAGTTGAAGAGTTGTTTGGAGATGTCACTGTAGAGGTGAGAATTGTTTTCCCCTTTTTGCTTATTCAGATCTATTTGCCCTCTTAGCTCCAAAGGGAGAGCATCAGTTTAGTAATCCAGAGGGCACTGTTTCGATCCTTGGACAAGGTGAAATATTTTAAAATATTCCATCTTGGACATTGAGTCTAATTGTCATTTGTCACTCACAGCTGATTCAGAAATCATGTGGGATAGTTGGTCACTTGCTGAAAAAATTGGTTATTTCTGGTTAATAATCCACCAATCAGAGTGCCAGTTAAGCGGATTGATCACCAAATTATTACCAAAATGTGATAAAATCTGTGTAAAAAGAACAAAAACAAACTTATTACTATTATCAGATGAATGATTGTATTTCATGGATGATTGTCAATATGGTGTTTGAATTTTCACTAGTGCTTATCTACCGTAACTACATGACTGTATATTTGGGCAACATCTCAATGACTTTCCTCATAGAATCACTATTACTAGGATATAGATTGTTTTTGAATTGGTATCCTAGTGTACTTGGTTCCGACGCACCTAAGATACAATCACTATTTACCGTAACAAAATAAGGTGACAACTAACAAATTACCTAAGCAGTGAAAAATTTATTCATTTCTTCATCTTTTACAACTTTTTTCATTAACTAAAAACTATCGTTGAAACAAAAATAATCAAAATATGACAAGCGGTGATTTCCAATATGGCGGATATGAGAGTACAAAGAAACGACGCATTTGATTGGTTTCTATATTTAATCTTACTAAAACGAAAGTGCACTTCCTTTTCACTGCGAGAATGATGTACAGCAATTTTGTAAACAGCACGAAACATTTCAAGCACAAAAGTAAATAAATAAAAGATGACAATTATTTCAGTTATTCAGGATTTCAGTTTTTTGAGAAGACTAAATTCAAACATGCTTTACAATGATTACAGGTAGACCAAAACAACAAAGATAACATCCGTTTTATTGTCCTACCACTCACAGTTGTGCTAAAATATTTTCTTTCATTAGTAGGTGGCTTTTTACATGTCAGTATGGTTTCTTTGTACAAGAAAAAAAGAAGCAGGAGAGACAGTTTTAGATATAACAGGAACAGTGTCAGTCTCAATGAGTGGGTCTAGGTTTAAATCCTGGCCCTGGCTGGTTGCATGGCTTGGTCTTCTGACTGAGATTTCTCCTGCTGTAAATCAGTGAAAGGGAGAAGTTAGATGGGTTTATAGCATTTGGTTTCAAAGGCTTTCTGAAAACAGACTGCAAGTTCTTTGATGACAGTGCTTTATATTTAAATAAGCACTGCATTCAAGCTTACATATGTAATTTCTATTTGAAAGACCCTGACAAGACATGTCTCTCAAAATTTATAATGTCCGCAAATATTGAAATGTTTTTCAAAGGCCTGAAACAACCTATAGATATCCATGGGCTGTAGAACATTGCATGTATGAGCAAGTGAATAAGTAAATAATCATTTCTTGTCTTGCCCATTGAACAATATTGAAATTGATGTGATATCTATGCTTATGGTCATAAAATATAACAACTGGGCAAGATCCAGACTTTCTGGAAGCTATCAGATGTGATTGGAGATAGAGCTTAAATCATATGCTCCAATCACTCTCTGAAACAGTACCATCTGTCACAGGAGTACTACCATTCAGCAATGCTGAATTCATGCCAATAGCTGATATACAATACAGCATATTGACAAGCAGTAGTTATGTCTCCCTGCATTTTAAAAAAATAAATAGCTGTTGTCATTGAAGTTGGTGAATAATTCCTGATCTTGACTTCAGGGATCTGTAAAAAATAACATAGATAATATTAATAATAAAGCATTCTAACACCCGCATTTTTCCCTATTGAACATAGAAGAACCGAAAGTGTGTGTTATTATGCAACAGAGTCACAGTTTGGCGTTCTATATTTAGACATGTGACGTAATCATTATACACGTGACGTAACCACCGAAAATCCAACGCGCTGAAAATAAGTACGGAAACAAATCAGGCACAATTTTGCTCAATATCAGGAACGGCAGCATTTATTTGTTGATGTCGTGTTAGAATCGAAATAATATATCCAAATCGGTGATTTTATCGCTTGATAACATCACTGTTTGTCGTTCGGATGCGCATCATTATATCACTCGGGCTACGCCCTCGTGATATAATTCCTCGCATCCGAACTCCAAACAGTGATGTTATTGAGCGATAAAATCACTGTTTGGGATATATTATTTCTTAAACATAACAAAAAAAGAACTTAAAAGAATACAAACTTTAATATTTATGCATCCATAAAGTCACACAATAATGAGCTAACGAGTACACCTTCCTACACAGTGAATTATATATTTGGTGGTCACATATCATTTCATAATACTATCTTATGGCTTTCTAAAAATAGCGACAAGTTAGGGTGTCGGCTGGTCCGACTGTCATTTTATCAATTTTGAGAAAACTATAATTTCAAAATTATACAAAATTAGTAATAAGAAAAAACATCATTTTTAAGTGTTTTTCATTAAAGAGTACGAAAAGATTACGTTAAAATCGCTAACTTTCCACATTTTCGCTGATAGAAATCCCCGAAATGTTAACTTACAAAAAAGCGCGGGAATGACGTCACACGGAAACCCCAAATCGAAATCGAGGTCAAAACAAAAATGGCGTCGTAATTAAGATGCGTCGAAATAAAGTACTGGAGGATAGTAAGTAAACTGCAATCTTAATAAAATTTACATTTGAGCTAAATAGTAGAAACAAATCCATCATTAATGAACCAAAGCCAGTATGCATACCTTAGCAGTCCAGTTTAAGTTTAATTTGTGGTTTGATATTCAATTCCTCTATCTGGCTTGATTTATTTTGATACTTGTAAAGGATGAGGACGAAGATGTAGAAATGTATATGGAAGATGGTGAAGAAGATGTGGACGAGATTCTGGCAGGAGATCTATGTAATGACAAGAAAAAGATGTCCAAAACAGATGCAGAAGTTAAGAAGATAGCAAAATCAAATGTTGAAGGTAAGGTGCAAATATAAACTCCGGGGGGGAAATACAATGATGGTAAAGCTTAAGAAATAAGAAATATAAATCGTTATAAAATTTGGTGTTAAATGAGTGATATATTAAAGTTGTTGATGATAGTAGTATTTGTTCTGCTTCCCTATGTCATACTTATAGGGTAAGGGCAATTTGCACCTCATCCAAGTCTTTTTACTACCAGTTGTTTAATTATAATATTAAAATAATTGAAACCCCTTAAATAAATGGTGGTTATCTTGATTAAATACCCCAAAAAACTCAATTAATACACTTACTGGAGCAGTGCAAGGGTTAAAACTGAAAAGCACTTTTCACCTAGGCTTCCATGAGAAGGGACGATCGTTGTTTTAATGAAAACTCTCAAATTCATATTCATGTGACATAGCTTAATTCTTAGATGTATGTGATATGAATTTCAGGTGAAGATGAAAGTGTTGATATGATAGAAGAAACTGTTGAAGGCGTTAAATTAGAGGGATTTGACACTGAACAATGTGAAGATATTGTAAAGCAGATACGTAAAGATGAGTTTGGTGTGGGTGTACATCTTAGTGAAGACGGGCAAAGACTTATGAAGGTAACCAATAATATTTAAGCTTGTGTTTAGGTTATCTGTTTCGAGGAAAAATCTAGCTATAACGATGGCTGTGGTTTCTTTTTTTTTGCAAAAATTTTAAGGTAGCTCATTATTCAATACTCTTAAAAGTAATCAACAGGAAACTTGCTTATCTTGCATTTGTTAAGACAAGTGTGACAGTATTTTCCTCGGGGAAAATATTTTTACTGTCACCAACCTATGTGTCATTTATATATTGCCAATTTTTAACAGGCAAATACTTCTAATCCAGTAGTTTAGCGCGGAGGAAGGTAGTCTAGTACTGGTGTAACTATCCAGGAACGATGGTTAGGAAACTACCCGCCTAATTGACTGAAATACTGTTGGGAAAAGGCGTAAAATGAAACAAACAAACAAAACAGGCAAATAATCTATTATCTATGCCATAGTCTTAGGGTCATATTACTATGGCCTCAGGGTCATATTATCTATGCCATAGTCTTAGGGTCATATTACTATGGCCTCAGGGTCATATTACTATGGCCTCAGGGTAATGTTGCTATGCAATATGCTATGGCCTCAAGATGATATTTATATTGCCTCGGCGTAATATTGCTATGGCCTCGGGGGAAATATTCTAGGTTTTTTTGCCCAATATCCATTATCACCTGATAGCCATGTGCTATTTATATGAATCTGTTGTAACATGTATATCTGAACTCTTCTGTTTTCATTTCAAAGATTCAACAAGAAAGACTAGGAAGAAGTTTAGAGCGCCTGTCTAAAGATTTGTACAGCAAAGACACACACTTTGTCCTGGAATTAGTTCAGAATGCAGACGACAATAGTTACCATGACAACCTGCTTAACAACACTACAGATGAATGTCCGTCTGTGAAATTTGTCATAGGGCATGATGGGATAAATGTCCTAAATAATGAACTAGGATTTAGTGAAAGAGATATAAGAGCTTTGTGTGATGTTGGAAGAAGTACGAAAGGAAAACATAAATTTGGATACATTGGTATGTATACAGTAACATAGAATTCATACTTATGTTTTGTTGTGAACTATTTTTTTGCCAATAATTAAATGAAATGTTGAAAGCTTTTACATATACCTGGTATGTTAGTCTTTTAAATATGTCAGTTTAAAGGCCAAAAAACACTATCATTTTTATTTCTCAAAAAACTTTATTTTTTTGTTGTTTTAGTTTTAAATGGCCATATAGGTGGACAATCCTTTGGTTTTCAACCCGTTTTGTTTTAATTAAATTTGTAGTGATTTTGTATGGAATGTGAAATACCACTTTTATATGCTTTGATCATCTCTTGATAAATTAACACACATTTAGGGCCCATAAGTAGTACATATGTATTACTATAATTATTTCTGTCATCCAACAAATAGATTACAAATGAAACATGTATATTACAGGACAAAAAGGTATTGGTTTCAAGTCAGTGTTCAGAATAACTGATGCGCCAGAGGTACATTCAAATGGTTTCCACATTAAGTTTGATGTCAACAGCGGTCCTATGGGATATATACTGCCTCACTGGATACCCGGTGATGAAAGAATTGAGCAGGATATGTAAGTTCTAACTTTTATTCCACTGTAGCTCAAAGGTGAAATCTATGTTGCCAATAAAAGGTGTGACTAGCCTGATAAAGCTGTTGCTTAGGTTGAAAATATTTATTTTAGCTTGATTGGTGTGATAGCTTTAGTATTAAATCTGATTTGAACAACTTGTTGTACTATTGTCTGAATGACCGATGGTCACCAGGACCACCTTTGAATATACATAAGTTTTCATGTCAAAGCATTCTATAAAACTGGTATCAATGAGGCAAGTATACACCGAGTTTAAGCAATGAGAGAGCATATCATATTAAACAACACTACTTAGTTTGTTTCTTGGAACTAACCAGTTTCGGCTTATCGAAACATGGATGTGTTCCCAGAAGGGTTTGAGTCAACAATTTCTTGTATTGGTCGACACTTAGATTATTTCTCCTGAAACCCCAAAAAAAATAGTAAATAAAAAAAAATATTTAAAAACGGCCTTTGTGATTAAAATTTTAAACAGTTTAAGATAAATTGACATATATAAAGATATTTTAAAGGCACAATTTTCCTCAGAAATGAATAACTTTTTTGTGCTAAAGGAAGGACAAACATGAGTTTTATAATGTTTAAATAATGGTTTTAGAGCATATAAAATGCTCATCTCCTGGTATAGAAGCACTGAATGTGAATGATTTGTCATAAAAGTAGCAAAATGTAAACAAAGTCGTACTTTTGACTTCCATACAAAGTACTAAATCACTGTACTTTATATTGCCAAAGGGCAACAGATCTGATGCAAAATATGGTTCAGGTAATAAGCCACCAATGAGGTAACTTTTTAGAAACTGTAAAGGACATCAGAAATAAATAGTTACTGGAAAAAAAAATTTATAGCATTTCTGGGGCATAATGAGCCTTTAATAAAATAAAAATAATAGCATTTCTGGGGCATAATGGGCCTTTCATTTTCAAAGGATGCTTAAGAAAACATAGAGTACATTAAGACTTCAAACAAAATATTCCCTCCAAGTATTTACTCCAGTAAAAAGAAAATAGCTATTTGTGAACAAGTTAGTTAGTGCATAGAGTAAACATGTTAGCAGACAGGAACTGATGAAATTTCTTATATAATTTACCTGTAGATGATTAAATCATGATATAATGGGATATACACAGGAAAATATTCTGCAGGAATTTTTATTGTAACTTGTTATTCAACCTTTAATTGCTATTCCAGTAGGAGACAAGTTATGAAAATATGAAATGCATTACTTTTAGGATGAATGCATGACATATATAGAGGATATGCAAGTTTTTATACGCCCGTTTGAAAAACGGGACGTATTATGGGAACGCCCCTGGCGGGCGGGCGGCGTCCAATTTTGTCCGGAGCATATCTCCTACATGTATGGAGGGATTTTAATGAAACTTCATAGAAATGTTCACCACTATGAGGAGCAGTGTCGCGCACATGAACCAGGTCTCTAGGTCAAAGGTCAAGGTCACACTTAGAGCTCATTGAAAAATGCTTGTCCGGAGCAAAACTTCCACATGTATAGAGGGATTTCAATATTACTTTGCACAAATGTTCACCATTGTGAGGCGGAGTGTCGCGTGCAAGATTCAGGTCCTTGCGACCAAGGTCAAGGTCACACATAGAGTCAAAGTTCAGATAAAAATATGAAGATGTGTATATGGACCATTTAGTCATCATTTATTGAGGGATTGTAACACAAATGGTCATTATCAAGACTATGGCTGTGATACATATAATTTAGGTCAATATATACAAGGTCAAGGTCACTAAAGATGATGAAATATCCAGATTTTGTAAATAGAATTTAATCAAAGGGCGACAACAAAGTTATTACTTTGTTCATAAATGACTTACACAATTACTCCCCTTGATCTACTTTCACTTTCAATTCTAAAAATAGAATTTAATCAAAGGGCATAAAATAATCCTCTTTCTTGGACTTGAGTATGTTCTAAAGAATGTAACATTTATTTACACATGTTTCATTCATTGGTCAAGATTCTTAACTGTGATAACTATGGTGTTCTGTAGACTTGGTATTTGTTCATAAAGATCATACAGTAATTACCTTATCAAATGTAAATACTTTCTCATAGAAATTTAATTATATTTTAATTTTCAAGTAAATATCAGTTCAGCTCTCCTACATGTATGGAGGGATTTTCATGAAACTTCATAGAAATGTTCACCACTATGAGGAACAGTGTCGCACACATGAACCAGGTCTCTAGGTCAAAGGTCAAGGTCACACTTGAGCTCTTTGAAAAATGCTTGTCCGGAGCAAAACTTCCACATGTATAGAGGGATTTCAATATTACTTGGCACAAATGTTCACCATTGTGAGGCGGAGTGTCGCGCGCAAGATTCAGGTCCTTGCGGCCAAGGTCAAGGTCACACATAGAGGTCAAAGTTTAGATAAAAATATGAAGATGTGTATAGGGACGATTTAATCATCATTTATTGAGGGATTGTAACACAAATGGTCATTATCATGACTACGGCTGTGACACATGTACTTTAGGTCAATATATGCAAGGTCAAGGTCACTAAAGATGGTGAAATATCCAGATTTTGTCTGGAGCATATCTCCTACATGTATGGAAGAATTTTTTATAATACTTTATGGAAATGTTCACCACCATGATATGTATTGCTCCATGCATGATCCAGGTCTCCAGGTCAAAGGTCAAGGTCACACTTAGAGCTCATTGAAAAATGCTTGTCCGGAGCAAAACTTCTACATTCATAGGGGGATTTCAATATAACTTGGCACAAATGTTCACCATTGTGAGGCTGAGTGTCGCACGCAAAATTCAGATCCCTGCGACCAAAGTCAATGTTACACATAGAGGTCAAAGTTCAGATAAAAATTTGAAGATGTGTATAGGGACCATTTAGTCATCATTTATTGATGGATTGTAGCACAAATTGTAACTATCATGACTACAGGTGTGACACATTTAATTTAGGTTAATATTTGCAAGGTCAAGGTCACTGGAGATGATTAAATATCAGATGTTGTCCGGAGCATATTTTCTACATGCATGGAGGAATTTTAATGTTACTTTATAGAATTGTTCACCACCATGAGACGTAGTGCCCTGCACATGAACCAAGTCTCTAGGTCAAAGGTGAAGGTCACAGTTAGAGCTCATAGAAAAACGCTTGTCTGGAGCAAAACTTCTACATGCATAGAGGGATTTCATTATAATTTGGCACAAATGTTCATCATTGTGAGGCTGAGTGCCGTGCATAAAATTCAGGTCCCTGCGACCAAGGTCAAGGTCACACATCCTGTGCATATCTTCCCTACTGATTTGTTTTAAGGTTCATTTAACAACACAGTGCCAAGAATAAAAACTTGCTTGCTAGATAACACTTATCCATAATGCCCCCATCTCCATCTAAAGCTTTCGTAAACGGGCGTATTTTGTGACTATGGCACCCTTGTTTTTTCTGTAAATACAGAATTCATTTTCATTGAATGGTATGAAAATAAATATTTCATGAAAAAAATATTATAATTTTCATTAATAATTATATACTTCTCTGACGTTACAATTCAAAAGACTCCCTTCAATTTTATATATTTTCTGAATTTAGAAGAAAGTAGTCCGGCAATATACCAGTGAAAATACGGAAAATATGTTTCACTGCATTGAAAAGTAAATATTTACAGCGAAAATACAATAAATGAACATATGCATTTTATTTCACCAATATTTCTCAATATTTTTTATTTAAAAGTATATTATAAAAATTCTTTTTGAGTTATTAACAATTAATATTCTTGGTCATCTTTTTAAGAATTATATGAGAATATGTCTTATTCTATTCACCTGTCCACAAAATTAATTATATGCGACATAATACATATATGTAAGGACAAATGTTTTCCTGAACAGTTATACTTTTAGTTCAACCATTTTACAATTAACTCTGGAAAGGAAAAATTTCTTTTTGACAGATCACAATTAAACTGACATGTTGAAACCTCAGACCTAATTTGAAAAGTCTGTTCATTAGAGAGGAGAATTAAATTTCACACCCCGCTCACACACCTACCACTTAGTTTAGCAGTACTCTGTATTTCAGACATACAAGTTTCTTGAGTGAATGTCACCGTGGAGTGGGAAAAAATAACCATCTCTTAAAAGTGGATTTCATGTTCACAGGATCTAATGGAATCACATTGGAGGTCACCTCAATTTGATCCTTGTTTAGCCAATCAAATAGTTGGCTTCAGAACTTTTGATATGTAACTCTAGCTGTTAACTTCCATCATTTTTCAAACAAAAATTTCAATTAATGTGGTTATAATCGAGGTATTTTAAATCCAGTTACAAAAGGGCAGCTTCATAAACATAAGTGATTTATTGAAGAAGAAAAAACATGAATTCAAATCATTTCTTGGTTTATCTTTTTATTTTGCAAAGAATCATGCAAATTGTTCAAGGATATTTGTTTATAAGAATATAAGAATAATTAACAGTACTCAATTTTTAGTTTCTTCTCTACTTTAATTTATTACATTTGTAAGCCATTATACAACAGTGTCAGGGCTTACTCTGGTTAAAAATTTCTTTTCATTCAATATTAAAAGTATGATTTGTTTTATTTCATACAAAGTTTTTATCAAAATAGCATAATCCCATAGCCAAAATTAAAATTTCTGTTGCCAGTTTAATGAGGTTTTAACAAATGGCTAAAATGGCAGAGTGAGCCCTGATTACAAAAGTATAAAAATATGAAAGGTTTAGTAATTACAATATCTAAATGATTTACTGGGGACTAACATAACAATATGGACATGTAAAATCTACTTTATGTAAAAGGATAAAATTAATTGGTTTCCAGCGCTATATTTGAGGGTTAAATTCATATGTGGAATTTTATTTCCTGAAAATATGTTGAGCATTTAAGTGTTTAAGCAGTAAATTCAATAAGATGGTAAGCATATACATCGTAAGATGATGATATAAAATGACGAAAGATATACAGTGCTTTTTTTGGGGTCAGTATGGAGCTGAATTATTTATTTTTAATTCCCCTGCAAATGTAAAAAAAAATTAAATAGTGCAACAGTAAGACAGAGATAGACATGTAGTTTGGAAAAAAAAAGGTATTATATCAAAATTTTACTCAAAATTGACAGTTTAGTCTGTTATTGAATTTCTCAATTTGCCCTCTATGTCCATGGGCCCTGCCACCATTCTGTAAAAGTGAGAAGCACTGGATATTAACCTTTAAGATACAGAATAGTTACAATAACAATGTGGCCATACCACGTGACTTTTCGGGTACGGAACACGCCGATTTTTCACCCGATTCAGGTATGTTTTTTATTCATAACTTGTTTATTACTCAACCGATTTTGATGAGGTAAGGCGCAGAGTACCCGTAATTATATCAGTTATCCACGGTATATCAAACTTCTGAAAACCCCTGAATGGTTTTTGAGAACATTCGAGTACAGTTTTCTTTTCATAGCCTGGGCCGAGGGGAACGGTACACACTCAGTTGGCATAACAGGCGATTTCTAGCAAGTCATATGTTTTTTGACACTATTTCATAGAAAAATATATGTTAAATATGATATATTTACTATGTCCAATGTATTGAGTGAATGCAGTGATGTTTTAGCATATTTTCATAAAGTTATGTTGAAATGGTACGGAACACACTGTTATTCAAAAGATACTGTACACACACAATTTCTGTCTTTGTAATAATTCTAAAATAAAATATATTAAAATTTAATTTCAATTATAATGTGAGTGATTTTTTTCATAGTTATACATTTTATTAATTTAAACTAGAACCCTGGGACTGTTTTGCAATGTATCATAATGCTTACTTTTAATGTTTATATGTATTTGTGCACTATATTTCAAGAGATCACGCTTAACATTTACAACCTCCATGTAATTGTCCTATTTAAAATCACCTAGGGTATGTTAAACACTTCGATCTTCACAGAATCAGGTAGTTGCGCTCTATAGAAAGAAAATGTTGTTATATAATGCTGTGTTTATTGTTGTTTATTGTTGTTTTTCATTTCTTTTAGTTTTAGTGAAGTAAGATATGTCTTTTTGCTTCATCCTGAAAAAATAAAACAAGGTCATGACCTAAATCGCTGAAAAGTATCATTACTTGATAACAATTTAAATATATTTATATTTTGTTAATGATTAGCAAGTCATTAGGTACAATTTTGCAATATCATGGTCATGTTTAATTAAATCAAATCACAGAAGGCGCTGAATTTGTTTGGGTCTTAGAATGTCAGAAAGGTGAAGGCTGTGAGATTGTAAACCAATTTGTTTTGTATAGTGCCACCAATGTTGTTTCTAGTGTCATAACTGTAGTAAATTGGCTATAAGGCTTATTGCAACACTGATATGTAATTCATTGTTTATTTGGCTTAAACAATTAAAAACAAAAAAACATAAGTTGCCTTAACTTGGATTTGAACTCAGGACATCTCTCTTCCTAAACGAGCGTGTAACCCCTCGACCACGGGGAAGTTATAAGATAACAGCCTGAAGAAAACCATATCATTCTAAATTAGGGTTTGTAACCCTTATTAATTTCGTTTGACACTGTTGTAAATAATCATGGAGCTTAATATTACATGTACATCTGTAAAGAATTACACAATATTTGAAATCTTTGACCAATCGAGAACTACTTTTTCTTCTCCCGAGAAGGCTTGAAAATTAATGCACCCGTCATTTGACAATCTTAACACAGTGATCCCCCCTTATTTTTTCAGCGTTAGAGTACATATAAAGGTAAGTAACCGCTTCCAGGGGTTCAGACTACTTTCTTATTTTGCAAATAAGCATATCAGAACCTGAAATTTCGCTACCATTATTTGTTTGGTCTGACGACCCAAACAAAAAAAAATGTAGTCGCCATTGCTTAAATTTTTAATGTTTAAAGGCATGAAGCTTTAAAAATAACTTTTAATTCATGTAATTAGGTCATTTTTGGTTTGGTTTCACGGCTCATAAAACTGACATTATCATGTGGCATCTTTCGAGTTTTACAAGTGCCCCTTTGGGTATAAATAAAGGAACGAACGGGCACCTGAGTAAAACGACCGACATTCTGTACGGTAGTAAGAAAACTTTCTCACATAAAAAATCGAAACATCGAAGTCACTTGTGGTCTCGTACCTACTTCATGTAGTATATAAAACAGAACGCAGCCTCCAAAATCCATAGCATTTGATTGACAAAATGGGTATTATTAAAATATCATTTTATTTTTAACACAAACACGCAAGCACACATATCCATGAACTCAAGTGTTAAATGCATCTTGAAATGAAAGTCCAAGATAGGCATAATTTTACCAAATTTCCTAACATGTATATCCTTACATGTATATGTAACAAGGTTACCTTGTATAAACTACGTTACGATATATAACAGGCCTTGTTCCCATATGGGTTCTTCAAATTATCAAATTATTAATTTTGATTGCACGTAAAACTGCGAAATATATTTGTCCATATGTAGATAATTTGATAATTTAGATACATGCAGTTAGTTTGGGACCCTGGCAGATGATTCATACCAAATATCATGTGGCCGCAAAAAAACTTTAAACTTTCCGTGATTTAAAAAAATCCACTTACATCAAAACCAGCGTTTTTTCTCCGAATTAGATTATTTAAACAACATTTTGCAAGGAACATATATTTCCAACTTACTCCTAACTTCTTGTTTGTTTATATATTCATACTACTTTTAGACAGTCATTTATATATTCGAACAAACAAATTAAATGAAATAATAATCGCACATAACAGATGTCCATGAATTTCACAATTCGTTTTATAATCCAAAAGAATATACCTAATTGTTTCAAAGAAAATGAAAACAAAACCAAATTTTGAATGAATTCCGTATCCCTCCCTAAAATTTTAACATTTTATAGCCAAATATTAATTGCTGAACATATAATATCGAGTTTTGCGCAACGTACTCTCAAAATGTTCTTTTATTTTTTGAAGAATCCTGTTTACATCAAACTGTAGGCATAATGATACATTGCAAAACAGGTCCCAGGGTTCTCGTTTAAATTAATAAAATGTATAACTATGAAAAAAATCACTCACATTATAATTTAAATTATTTTTTTATATATTTTATTTTAGAATTGTTTTAAAGACAGAAATTGTGTGTGTACAGTATCTTTTGAAATAACAGTGTGTTCCGTACCATTTGAACATAACTTTATGAAAATATGCTAAAACATCACTTCATTCACTCTATACATTGGACATAGTAAATATATCATATTTAACATGTATTTTTCTATGAAATAGTGTCAAAAAACATATGACTTGCTAGAAATCGCCTGTTATGCCAAATGAGTGTGTACCGTTCCCCTCGGCCCAGGCTATGAAAAGAAAACTGTACTCGAATGTTCTCAAAAACCATTCAGGGGTTTTCAGAATTTTGATATACCGTGGATAACTGATATAATTACGGGTACTCTGCGCCATACCTCATCAAAATCGATTGAGTAATAAATAAGCTATGAATAAAAAACATACCTGAATCGGGTGAAAAATCGGCGTGTTCTGTACCCGAAAAGTCACGTGGTATGGCCACATTGAATAAGTTTTATCATCCAGATGATGCTATAAAAATGGTGGCTAAAATAGTTTTATGAATACAAATTAATTGAAGCATTCCAAATAAAAGGGCATTGGTTTGAAAAAGTTGAACATATACTTTAAATAGCATACATGTGAACTCTTCCACTTTTAGCGGGAGACTTCCACTTTCTGCAGCCATATTTTCAAAGATTTTTCTTAAAATAAGGGGTATCTTCACAAATTTAAAGGAATCTCCCTCTTTTTGGTGTCTGAACTTCCTTCTTTGTTTAATGCAAATTCTAAAATCTCCCTCTTTTTGAAGAAAATCTCCCACTTGATCATCAAAAAAAGTTCACATGTATGTAAATAGAGCAGGTAAAAGTTTCATTTTACATTCTGCATGCTTTTGTGTGACATAAAAACCTGACAAAAATAGTCAAATATCCAATCATCAAATAGATAGTTGTCTGTTTCTTGTTATTTTTCTTGTGTCATACCAAAAGGCTATAAAACGAACTATGATCAGATTTCCAATGTTAAATTTAGACTAACTACTATTAATTGTGCATACGTAAATGGTATTATGTCACTAAACATTTTTAGTCGGCCTTTTTGACTACATCAGAAGCTGGAGGACCACTCAGTTTTTCTTGGGGGATGCCAGGTTGAGACGGTGCGGTGCTCGGCTGCACTATAACTTCCGGTGCAATAAGTACTTGTCCTGAACCTGGAATATTCAGGTCATTTACTCTCAATTTCCACATGTTGCAGATGACATTGCTTACAAGTAGGTCGGATGTGTTGGCACCAATCAGCTTCAAGGTCATGACCCCATCCTCACCAATGAAGTTACAAAATTTATCCATGTGGTACGATGATACAGACTTCATATTAGGGTCGTCTTCCAGTTTGATTGCCTTCTCAATATACCTGAAGATATTGTACGGGCATATTAACATTTGAGCCGCGTCACGACAAAACCAACATAGTGCGTTTGTGACCAGCATGGATCCAGACCAGCCTGCGCATCCGCGCAGTCTGATCAGGATCCATGCTGTTCGCTATCAGTTTCTCTACTTGTAATAGGGTTGGTAAGCTAACAGCATGGATCCTGATCAGACTGCGCGGATGCACAGGCTGGTCTGGATCCATGCTGGTTGCAAACCCATTATGTTGGTTTTGTCGTGTCACGGCTCATTTGATTAAATGGCTTAGCTTCCATTAAGTCCCTCTGTGCATGAAAATGAGCTCTAGTCATTTTCTGATACTGGTTAAATTTTTTTTTTTCTTTTTTCTTTTAGATTCTGAAGATTTTGATACATTAATGATAACAACAGAGTTCAGATTTATATTTATATGCCAAACATTTAGAACCTGAAATATTCAATATAGGAATAATGTTAGCAATGTTATATCAATAGAATATATTTTCATAAACTTAAGTTATGCAACTTCATATTTATATTGATTTTCATGACCATCAAATGAATGACTTACCGCTTTCGGAAAATCGGTACAAGTGTTTGTACAATCCACATGACAAGGCTAAGGCACGTTACCAAGGCAACAAATAGAAGCCACACCCATATGAACATATAGACATACTCATTGAAGTAGTTTGCTGTGAGATTACATTGAACGGTCCATCGTTGGATGTTCATAAGTTGGCTTATGGAAAAATCGCAGAAAACTTTACGCGGAAAGGCTGGCGATTCTTTCCAAACTGTAGCATTGTTTTCTAGTAGATTTCCGGAGATTACGTCACCGTATGAAGTGGAATTGTCTATAGGGGTATCTGTTGTTTTTAGAAGGGAATCTACCAGACTCATTTGTGTAACAATGTTGACGCAATAAAGTATCTTGACGAGAAGCCAGAGAAGTGATAGTAATCTCCATGGTAACCAGTTTCCGCATTGTCCACACCAGTTCATCAAGTAACGTGCAATTTTTCTGCCAAGAATATCCCTTTCTTGAAGGTTCAAGTTCTTGTATCCACTTGTTAATCCAGATATCTTGTCAAAACTTATCCCAGAATAACCATGGAAAATATACATGAGCAGATTGGGCAGCTTGAAAAGTAGAGCTTGAAAGCAAAGGATTATGGGTAGCCACTGATATAGTGTCCTAGTTGTTGCCATTTTCTCTTTTAGATTGTCGGTCAATTCTATCGGCTCTGATGATACCATTGGGAAATTATTGAACTCAATGAGAGAATTTGATGGGAAAGAGATGTTGAACATCTCAAATATTTCCTCTTTAGCTTTCTCTTCATCACGTGGATAAACAATAAAGTAACTATTCCAGCATGTTTCTTCTGTATATCTAACCATGGCTTCTGTATATGTAGCTGGTGCCCAGCAGTTGATAGCTTTGTTGTATCCCTGTTTCCAGCTGATGATGCATGCCAGTAGAAGCAGGAGACCAAAGGTCCAGAAATGATTTAACCTGTCAGCAAAATCCTCAAGGGTGCTTCCTCTTCCAATCAACCATTTGTAAAGACCTTTACTCACTGTAGGCATTGTTTACCAGTGGTTGTTTTCCAAACTATAGAAGAAAAAAGAAGAAAATAGTAAATTAAGTCACATATCTCCATAATATACTATGTACATGACTTTTGAAGAGAAAGATGAAGATATTGTCATCATGGTCTATTTTCAGCATTGGTTAACTTTTTTATTGAGGTTTGTTTTCAAGCTATTCACTTTAAGCTTAAAACATTTTTCACTATTGCAACTGGACAGCATTTCTTATGTTCAGATAACCCTGACTGTAGTTTGACAGTTATAATTTACCTTTATTTAATGTAGAACATTTTGTTTTCTCAAAAATCAGCAAAGGTTTCACTTCAAACTTGACACCTGTGTTCACTTTAATTGACAAGTTCCCAAGCACTTTTGCAGAATTAATTTCTTATTTCTACCTTTGCTGTACTGCAAGGGAAAAGTAGAGTTTTCTTTCACTGGGTCAGGACTTGCTTAATAACTTATTTATTTAACACATGTCCTTTTGGATAAGTTTGTAAAAATGCCTCTGTATCAGGTAAATAAACTGGGGGGAATGGGGGGGACATGAGTGCCCTATGGACTTATTTCTAGTTGTATTTTGATACTGAAAACCCTTCAACTTGTAATGGATTGTTCCAAATGTAAAACATGGCGAATATATTTTGCAAATTCATCACATTAAGAGAATAAACAAAAGGTATATTCTGATAGTACTTCTAACTGTACACTGTATACAGCTAGTGGCAGGTAATTAACACAGGCTGTGTTCCTAGAGAGTCTATACCTGTTTTATCCATACCAAAGGAGAACTAATCTTGACTGTATGAAATATAAATGTTTCAAGTATAAGATTATCTCTCAAGATGATCTTGATTATTTCCATAGAATCAGCTAGCTGTATGATAACAGGCACTTAACAGCAAGTGGCCAGCATCCAAATCTATGAGAGAGACATATAACTTTAAAAGAATTTAACATCTTTCAACAAAATTTATTACAAAAAAATAAAACCTAAGAAAAAAATGGCTTTAAATATATGATTAGCTGAAATTTCTGATTGCTTATGTTACAAATTAATATCTGACGAATCTGATAAATTTTTAAATAAGCCTGCAATGTTTTCAGTTTTGTCATTTTGGATTCTTATTTTCTTTTTGTCCAGATTCCAGATTTTGGAATGGTCTATTTTTAGATTTGGGGATATACCAAGATGAAAATTTGAAGTCTGAATCCGCCAACAGTATAAGGCGTGGTCAGACTTTTTGCCATGTATGCAGGCTGGCCTTGCTCTACTAATTATGAAGGCTAATTAACACTTTTACTAATTAGATCTAATTAGCAGTTCAAGGATTGATGTCAAGAATAATGTACACATGTTTTAGATGTTAAAATATAATTATAAGATTTCATACAGTTGAAAACAATCCTATTTTATTAGTCTACAATTACTGTTAATAAACATTGAAAATAATTTGTATAAAAACTTGAATTAAGAATTAATTTAATAAATAAAACAATAAAGGTGTTAAAAGAACAGTTTTAAGTTATTGTTCAAAAATTATTATTTGTTCAATTAATTTAACAGAGATCAGTAACTGTTACTTTTGCATTAACCCAATGAAAAATTTGTTTCAAAATCAGTAATTTGAATAAGAAATGCATAATTTTAGAGCTTTGCAAAAATAATTGATAAATACAGCCAACAAAGCAGGAATTTTGTATAACATAAATTGAAATTATTGAAGCTTTTTGACCAACTTGATTACATCACATATAATTTGAAAACTCATGTATACATAGAGAAAAAAACTTACCAATTAAGAAGGAAAAATAACTCCAGATTTCAATCACAGTATAATATACGTGGGAATTTCTGCTTGCAAGAGAAAAACCTGAGCAGTAAAGCTTTGAATAAACTTCTTAGCATGCAGGAGCCTATGGCATTACCTGTATCTTAAAGCAGGAGCTGATGGGAATTTTGTTGTACTGGAGTTGATGGGAATTTTGTTGTACTTTACTGTAGAATTATAGAACCTAGTCATGAAGAAGGTGGTACAATCATAGGGATATCCCAGCTGGAATACCAGTCTTAACCTTTGATTGAACCTTGGATAGTTTATACAGTTTATAATACAATGTAAACATCTGTTATGGTGCTGGTCAAAAATGAAAAGAATGACTGATGAAAAACAGGCATGGTTCTTTTATGACTGGAATTTTGCACTAATAACTAAGAATGTTAAGAAATTTTGGTTTGGGGAAATTGAGTTTTGAAATGATTCTTTTTGTGATATTAATATATTTTATGTTTCTTGAAAATAGATTTTATTTAGCAATTGTCATATTTTATAACAAAAATGGCTTTACTTTTAATTGTTTTAAGTATTCATTTTTTGAACAGTTTAAGTAAAAGCAAATTTGATTAACACCTTAATGTTCAAAATTTCTCAGACATTGAAAATCCAAAAAAAAAGTTTTTTCCCCCCATTTTCCAGGTCAAAATTCCCTCTTCACAGGAAAATAAACTTAGAAAATATAATAAATCATAGCATCACATAGTGATCACATAGTGATTGCCCTATGCAACAGCAAATTGTATTTTCTTCCCCAAATTTCTAAAATTTGCTTTAAGGTGAAAAGACTTGAATGAACCAAACATTTGATTTCTTTTGTTTTATGTATGTAATACAGTGTGAGTTTTCTCATTTTTTATAAATGATGCGAAAATTCCCAATCCTGGGGTTTGGGTCATGTTCCAAAAATGTTAAGGAAAAAAACCCTGCATGATTGTGTATGCAACGCAAAAAATGTTGACATCAAATGTTGTCTTGTTTTTTGTTTAATTAAACACCCCAATATAATAAAGCTTCTAAAGTGATCTTTGAGAATTTTGTTCATTTACGGTATTATGAAATTTATAAAATGTACCGAAAAGTTAGAAGTATTCACAACAAACAACTAAATGTGGGCTTCAAGAAATTTATTTTACTGATGGATCTCTTCTTTGCTGATTATAAACTGATAGTCTGTTCCTGAATATATCATCTGTTTGACCAAAAAGAGGCGGCATGGCCGAGTGGTTAACACATCAGACTATTAATCTGCATGGGTTATACTCTGTCAGGGGCAAGTAGTTGTTTCCTTGAGTAATAAACTTTACACTTACTGCTCAGTACTGGTTGGTTCAAGGTGTGTCTTTAAGCACTAAGCTTCCTACACAATCAAACTAAAATAAATTCTGTATAAAACCAACTGTTTGACTTATGTAAATTTCACATCACCCATTATTACATATTAATACATAAAGTGCAATTTTATTTTGTACAATCCATTAATAAGAAATGTTTTATTCATAGCAAATCATTTTTAGCTCGACTATTCGAAGAATATGAGAGCTATTGTAGTCGCCCCGGCGTCGGCGTCCGCGTTGGCGTCTGCGTTGGTTAAAGTTTTTTGTAAAGTCAAATATCTCAATTATTACTTGAGATATTCAATTGAAACTTACAATACTTATTTATAGTAACAAGGTTCATCAGATTGACAAGTTGGATAACTCTGCCTACAATATTGATAGAATTATGCCCCTTTTTAACTTAGAAATTTTGGTTAAAGTTTTTTGTAAAGTCAAATATCTCAATTATTGCTTGAGATATTCAATTGAAACTTACAATACTTATTTATAGTAACAAGGTACATCAGATTGACAAGTTGGATAACTCTGCCTACAATGTTGACAGAATTATGCCCCTTTTTAACTTAGAAATTTTGGTTCAAGTTTTTTGTAAAGTCAAATATCTCAATTATTGCTTGAGATATTAAATTGAAACTTACATTACTTATTTATAGTAACAAGGTACATCAGATTGACAAGTTGGATAACTCTGCCTACAATTTTGACAGAATTATGCCCCTTTGGAACTTAGAAATTTTTTGGTTAAAGTTTTTTTGTAAAGTCAAATATCTCAATTATTGCGTGAGATATTCAATTGAAATTTAAAATACTTTTTTATAGTAACAATGTACATCAGTTTGCAAAATTGCATAACTCTGCCTGCAATATTTGCAGAATTATTTGCCCCTTTGAAACTTAGAAATTTTTGTTAAAGGTTAAAGGTCTTCAAAGATATTTACTTGAAACTTTACACATGCACTTAGGGTTATAATTGGAGGGTCATAATTGTATGTCACTGACCAAGTTCCATAACTCCATCTTGCATTAAGGCTGATTCATATCCCCTTTCTACTTAGTCTCTTGGTTAATGTTTACATGCAAGTTTTACAAATCTCAATAACTATTAAAGATATTTATTTAAAACTTCTCATATGCAATAAGGGTCATAATTGTAGGTCACTGACAAAGATCCATAATTCTATCTTGCATTTAGGCTGATTTTTCTCCCCTTTTTTCAACTTAGAAATTCATGGTAAAGTTTTGCTTGTAAGCTGTTATCTCAATAACTACTTAAGGGTTTGTGTTTTTTTGGGGACAATTTTATGCATTCATGATAACAAAGCAGTGATTTACTTGATAAAACATCTTAATAACAAGCCTTTGTACCTTTTCTGTCAAATTTATGTATTCATAGGTAATTAGTATTATTATACTCAATAAAACACCCTTGTGACATTTCCTTCTGAACAGTCAAGGCAATACTGTATAATTAGACTCTCTCTAAGGCCTATAACATGAATTTATAAAAAAAAATTAGCCCTTTTGTGAACTTAAAAAATTATACATTATCAAGGCTCTTTTATTATCAAGCACTTAGAATAGTCGAGCGTGCTGTCCTACCGACAGCTCTTGTTATTATAATAATACTAATCACATCTCTGGTGTTACTAGAGTTATTTTGAAGGTTGAATTTACTGTTATGTACTATTTAGAAAAGAAATTTTCTTGCCATCATTTTAGCACTTTTTACATTTTTTTTTTTTTACAAAAATACAATAAAATATGTGTCTTGTTTTTGCTTTTGCAGATGGATGACTCATATAGTATTGGGGTTAAAGCCAGAAATGAAGGCACAGACGCGAACCTTGGCTGCGAGGTTCAATGATATACACCCATCCCTTCTCCTCTTCCTGCACAGACTTAGGGAAATAACTATAGAAAACAAGGGTGAGAACAATAGCTTATAAAATTACTTCTTCCTACAGAGACTAAGGAAAATAACTATAGAAAACAAGGTTATAAATTTACTCTTGATTAGAATAAGTTAACAGATGTGTAAAAAATCTGCACAAAAAACTAAAAAATTATTGTTATTATTTCCACTTTTTGAACAAACAAAGTGGATTTGCTCAGTCTGAGTGCAACTTAGTGAAAATATCATTGTCTAATGAGTGACCTCTGAAAATATAAGAGTAGGTTTGTTAAACTTGGTTGAGGCATTGTCCATGACAAGTAGATGACCTGGCCAGACCCGTAATAAGACGTATAATGTCTAATTTATAGAGTTTCCCCACTCATAGTATTGTGAAAAATAGTATTTATAATACTGTATCATTAAATAAATATACATGTACAAGGTATAACTAATTAATGTTACACTTCACCTTTACAAAATATAAATTTGGCAACGGCAGGGAAAATGAAGTGGAGGCACAAGTGTCCAGTGGACGCTTTTCTAGTTTAATCCTGAAACTACTGAATTTGTGTTATGAATTTGTCATTTAATTATGCCCCCATTTCGAAGAAAAGGGGGTATATTGCTTTGCACTTGTCGGTCCGTAGACCAAATGGTTTCCGAGTGATAACTAAAGAACCCTTAGGCCTAGGAACTTCAAACTTGGTATGGTGATTGGTCATGACCAGTAGATGACCCCTATTGATTTTGGGGTCAAGGGGTCAAAGGTCAAGGTCACATTGACCTTGTAAGCAAAAACGGTTTCTGATCAATAACTAAAGAACTTTAAGGCCTAGGAACTTCAAACTTGGTATGGTGATTGGTCATGATCAGTAGATGACCCCTATTGATTTTGGGGTCAAGGGGTCAAAGGTCAAGGTCACATTGACCTCTTGGGTAAAAACGGTTTCTGACCAATAACAAAAGAACCCTTAGGCCTAGGAACTTCAAACTTGGTATGGTGATTGGTTATGACCAGCAGATGACCCCTATTGATTTTGGGGTTAAGGGGTCAAAGGTCAAGGTCACATTGACCTTGTAGGTAAAAACGGTTTCCGATCAATAACGAAAGAACCCTTAGGCCTAGGAACTTCAAACTTGATATGGTGATTGGTCATGATCAGTAGATGACCCCTAAAGATTTTGGGGTCAAGGGGTCAAAGGTCAAGGTCACATTGACCTTGTAAGCAAAAACGGTTTCTGATCAATAACTAAAGAACTTTAAGGCCTAGGAACTTCAAACTTGGTATGGTGATTGGTCATGATCAGTAGATGACCCCTATTGATTTTGGGGTCAAGGGGTCAAAGGTCAAGGTCACATTGACCTCTTGGGTAAAAACGGTTTCTGACCAATAACAAAAGAACCCTTAGGCCTAGGAACTTCAAACTTGGTATGGTGATTGGTTATGACCAGCAGATGACCCCTATTGATTTTGGGGTTAAGGGGTCAAAGGTCAAGGTCACATTGACCTTGTAGGTAAAAACGGTTTCCGATCAATAACGAAAGAACCCTTAGGCCTAGGAACTTCAAACTTGATATGGTGATTGGTCATGATCAGTAGATGACCCCTATTGATTTTGGGGTCAAGGGGTCAAAGGTCAAGGTCACATTGACCTCTTAGGTTAAAACGGTTTCCGATCAATAACTAAAGAACCCTTAGGCCAAGGGACTTCAAACTTGGTATGGTGATTGGTCATGACCAGCAGATGACCCCTATTGATATTGGGGTTAAGGGGTCAATGGGCAAGGTCACATTGACCTTGTAGGTAAAAATGCTTTACAATCAATAACTTAAGAACCCTTAGGCTTAGGAACTTCAAACTTGGTATGGTGATTGGTCATGACCAGCAGATGACCTATTGATTTTGGGGTCAAGGGGTCAAAGGTCAAGGTCACATTGACCTTGTAGGTAAAAATGGTTTCCGATCAATTAACTAAAAACGCTTAGGCCTAGGAACTTCAAACTTGGTATGGTGATTTGTCATGACCAGCAGATTACCCCTATTGATTTTGGGATCAAGGGGTCAAAAGTCAAGGTCACATTGACATTGTAAGTAAAAACGGTTTCTGATCAATAACTAAAGAACGCTTCGGCCTAGGAACTTCAAACTTGGCATGGTGATTGGTCATGACCAGCAGATGACCCCTATTGATTTTGGGGTCAAAGGTCAAGGTCACATTGACCTTGTATGTTTAAAACGGTTTCCGATCAATAACTAAAGAACCCTTAGGCCTAGGACCTTCAAACTTGGTATGGTGATTGGTCATGACCAGCAGATGACCTATTGATTTTGGGTCAAGGGGTCAAAGGTCAAGGTCACATTGACCTTGTAGGTAAAAACGGTTTCCGATCAATTAACTAAAAACGCTTAGGCCTAGGAACTTCAAACTTTGTATGATGATTGGTCGTGACCAGCAGATGACCCCTATTGAGTTTTGGGTCAAGGGGTCAAAGGTTAAGGTCATGACCAGTAGATACTTGATAACCCTTATTAATTGTTTGATCACTGGGTCAGAAGTCATGCATAATAACCTTATCACATGACTAATTGGCTGCAGATAGGGGGCATACATGTTTTACAAACATATCTTGTTTAGATGATTCCATTTAAAACTTAAGGGATTTCTTTATCAGAAGACACTTATTGAGCTGCCAATAGTATTAATCCTAGACAGACTGTTTGCAAGTGGTGGTGGTGTTGGTAGTTTACCCTCCAGATCATGGCAGTAAGCCACTTTGAATTCACCAGAGCGCAGTTTTGCCACTGCATTGTTCCTGGGCAGGCTGTCAAGCAATTTACCTTCTCTTTCGCAAGGAACTGATCATTTCTGTACATGCCAGAGCAGAGGTACAGTTTTAATGATCGTACAAAGAATTTTATTGATCATTTTCCAAGAAAGTGACCTGAACTGTTTAGGAATTGAACCTGGGTCACCCGTTCACAGTCTAATGCTCTATGTGTTATAATTGAACTCAAGTACAGACTGGTCTCCTTTTATACTGGTGTTGGTAAAGACAAATCACTTCTAGTTTTACAGATCATGGGTTTAAGTTTTTTTTTAAATGGCTAATCACTTGTAGTATTAAGTTTAATGGACATTGTTGCAGGTGAGAACAGTGTACAGATGATGAGGAGACGAGATATAGGTGACAGTGTTGTAGAAATACAACATTCACATGGCAGTGAACGATGGCTGGTTGTTAAAAAAATGTTAGATGCCAGAAAGATTTCTCTACAGGCCAAGTCAGGAGCTGATGTGGAATCCACAGAAATAGCCCTAGCATTTCCTCTAAAACAAAACAGTGAGCAAAATCTGCAGGTAAGATATTAGTTAGTATTTATGTGTGAAATACAAATTCTTAAGCTATCATATCTTTTTTTGACTGTAGACCATATACTATGTATTGTTACTGTGTTTTGAAAGGCACATTACACATAAAATTAGGATGATTCAGGTAATTGGTAAATAAGTAACTTTTTGGAAACTATAACATGACATCAAATATAAAAAGCATTTGAGAAATTAAAAAGAAAGCCTTTCTGGGGAAATATGGACCTCATGTTTCTCTTGTTCATTTCAAAGAATCTTCCATGTTAAGTGTGTGGCAGAAGCAATCATCACTAGAAAACTATATAAAACTGTTATAAATTATTTGAAGTAGAGTAGACATTGACGGTTATGGACACACACCCTTGGAAATATCTCATACAAAAAATAACCAATTTTCCCCCAGTTTCTAAAGAAAAAGTCCCAACAGCTGCCAAAAAATCCAACTGTTTTGTTTCAAATTTTGAGAAAAAATAAACTTTTGTCTTGTCTCTTAAAAGAAGTGGCTGCACTGTGCTTGTATAACTAAATATCCAACCGTTGGAAAAAAGAAGAATAAATTCAACTAATTTTCCTCTCAACCAAAGAAAGGGTTTGTGAAGTATTATAATTTGTTAATAAGATTTATATCTTATATGACTGGGTTAAATCTTTATTTGCTATATAACATTTAATCACCTAACAGCCATACATGTTTATGATTGGCAAAAATTATAACCTTGTAACGTAAGTGTTTATAGATGCACTATAGTGAAAGATATAATTTTCAGACTATGCCACCAAAGCAACCAGTGTTTGCTTTCTTGCCACTAAGAAGTTACGGGTTCAGATTTATCATACAAGGTACAAATCTTATTTTATCTGTAGTATATTAATATGATTGATTTACTATCATAACAATCATTCTTGAAATACATTTACTTATTACAGGTGTGTTTGCTTTTTTACCTTTGACCGAGTTTATTATTGCAGACTGTTATTAAAAAATAAATTTTATGGATTTCAATGAATATGCTGGCCTGATTAATAATGGTAGCAAAGGTTTTGCAGTTATAGGTACAGGAGTGTAAGGGTTTTGTAATTTTGAAAGTATTTTTTTCATTACTGGTAACAGATGGAAATTCAGAATTTATTCTGTTAAAGTATAAAGGGACTTCACTGAGGGTTTTTGACATGAAGGAATTAGACATATTATTTCCAGATTTTTGTGTCATTTGAAGTAGGTTTTGTCAAATAACTTTTTATGCAAAATACATTTCAATTGTGCAAAAATGAAAAGCGTTTGTTAGTATATTCCTTTAATAAAAGCCCATGGGGTGTTACATTTTCAAAATGGGGGTGGGGGATGGCATGGCCTTCATTATATGAAAGAGCAAAAAAAAAATTTATTATCAAAATAAGCAAAGATTTTTTTACTTCTTTATAAAATATTTAATGTTACACATAGTGTCTGTTGTTTTCAGGAGATTTTGATGTACCATCAAGTCGTGAAGATGTAGACAGAGACAGTCCATGGAATCAGTGGCTGAGAAATGAAATACCCATGGCATTTATTGATGCCCTTGATGCCTTTAAGGTAGGTTACCTCTAACAAGAATAATTTCTTCAAAATAAGAAGAAAATGGAGAAGTACAACAGGTCAACATCAGAGCTGGTCTAGTTAATTTATTTTTTACCAGTTTCAGTTCTATAAAACCTTCATCAGGAAATTTCTTTTTAGATGCCTGCCACAAATTTTAAGGACATCAGTATTTTTCATTTGAGAAAGCTATCTAGCTAGTTTATGTAATGTTAATGGATCTACTCAGGAATCCTATCATGATTGGAAATGATGCACAGAAAGGCACCTAAGATCACTCTTGACTAGTAAAGCTGGAAAGTCGACATATGACCATTACAGTGATTCTCTGTGCTGAAATATTAAAAATATTTATTCCGTGACAGCTTAAAATCCATATTGTCAATATTGACTGTATTTTAATGTCTGTATAAGATTATATAAAGGATAGTTTCACTAAAATCATGTTTTACGAACTCTATTAATTCTGTGTGAAATTAGTGATTCCATGGGTTGCTAGGGCAAGCTTTGGGTAGAGCGAAATTTCTTAGTGACAGTTGATCTTGAACGTCCAGTCTAATGGTCATTTGTCTCTCATGGCCAATAAAGATATCATGTGGAATAAGTAGTCTGTCACTTCCATAGGAACTGGTTTGTTACTGGGTAGTTATCCAGGAAAACAGGTTAGATGGATTAATTGCTGATATGACCTAAACAGTGTTCAAATCAGTATAAAAACCAGGAAAACAAACATAATGAAACGAAAACTATCTTAACAAGGTAAAAAAATGGCTTTGGGTTAATTAAAAGATTGTCGGACATTAGTCGTTTTACAGTGTAACTTCTGAATTCCGGAACTTCTAAAATCCGGAAACTTCTTCTTTTTCAGGGTCCCGAAATTTCTCCTTTTGTTTTCTATGAAATCAAAACCTCTGAATAACGGAAATTCTAAATTCTGAATTCCGAACGACTTTCTGGTAAAATTTGGGTTATATCAATTAAAATTTACTTCCAAAATCCGGAAATTAAAAAAGGTGTGAAGGAATATTATACTTGTAATTGAAAAACCTTCAAAATGTCAGTATCTTCCAATTTACAGTACCCATTTATCTATTACAACTTGTCAAGCATATCAAACACTTGTTTAAAGTGTGAAAATTAAGAAATTGAGAAAAATAATGTGATGCAATGAAAAAATATACATGTAAATAGCAGGTACTACATGTATATGAAATGTACTAAAGGATAAATTGTGATAATCAACATTATGCTATTGTATCAGCAAATTCAGTTATAGATGATAATGAAAGGGCTTGGTTCACTAATCCCATAAAAGTGCCCTAAAATTTTAAAAAAATGAAATAGCTTAACCAAATCAAATGTGTTTGTTTTATGTAAATCCAACGCAGACCTAAGCAAATATGTAGCCAATTATGATGGTAAAAGTCCTATAATTTTGCTATTTTATTAATTTAATCAGCTTCATATATTTTTCATCATGCCTTACTATAAAACAGTTGATGTATAGTAATTGTACTTGTTTTCAGATAATTCCGAACTTCTGAATTCCGGAAACTTTCAAATTCCGAACTTTTTGGCTAGTCCAACAGGTGTTCGGTTTTCAGAAGTTACACTGTATACAGAATGATAAGGCTTAGTAATCTTTAATTAATATGAAATTGAATTGTTCGGCTGTAACTATTGCATTTGATATTTGTAGGTAAACATAAAAGTACTAATATTTAGCCGAATATAATTAAACCCAATACTCTTAATTAGTCTAGATTGTAAAAATATTTGCATTATTTTGCAGACACATCAAGAATTTAGCAGTATAGAAGCAGTGTGTAAATTTCTTCAGTTTGTTCCTATGGAAGATGAGGTCCTTGATTTTTTCAAACCAGTTGCGTCGGACATTCTGAAGAAACTGCGGGCAAAACCTTGTGTGCCTACACAGCCTAATGATCAAGGTATGTCCAAACCAAAAAAAAAAAACAAATAGCACATCCGACTACATACTGGTTACATGAAATATAAAAACATACTACTCTACTTTTCATGAATATAAGATTTGTATTACAAAATGACCATTGATATAAGAATAGCTAAAGTTGGTTTATACAGAATTTATTTTAGTTTCGATTGTGTAGAAAGCTATAAGCTTATAGACACACTTTCGAATCCGTTCCTGGAACCCATCAGTACTGAGCAATGAGTGTAAAGTGTCTTGCTCAAGGAAACAACAACTTGCCCCTGATGGTGTTTGAACATGTATGGCTAGCGATCATAGATTACTAGTCCAATAGCTAAAGTTACATAGACATAGAAGTATAAGAAGTCTTTTACTTCCTTGTAATATATTTTCCTAATTCTGTTTCGCATACAAACATATATTTATCACATAAACCACGATGCAGGAGTGAAATAAACCCATCTTATAAAAACAATATTATACAAGTGTTATACAAAAATTGTGCTAAAGTGCGCTAATGTTAGCATCACAGTATAAGTGAAGCAATGAAAAATCACTTTAACTGTAAACAGTTCATATTTTAGATATGTGATAAATAGAATATTATATTATTGTAGATTCAGTACTAAATTTATTTAAAGGCATGCATAATTTTGTTATATTCAACTTGTTCAATAAAGTTTGTATGAAATCTACACTCCTTCATTATTCTCTATATATGTTATATATTTAAAGGTGCTATAAGTTGGAAGATCCCCTCACAGACAGTGATCATCAGGGACCCGCTGGTACATAAAGTGATTACAGCTGATCTACTACAGACCCACTTGAACCTGTTTTACCTGCATAATGATGTGGCCTCAATACTGAACCAGAGTTTGAGCTCTTGTCTAGGCATTGAGACCTTGACTTTTGACCATTTGTTTCAGCTTGGAAAAGCCCTTGTAGTGGATATGGGAAACACATGTAGTGAGTTAGATATGTATTTGTGAAATATAATTATGTCTTATTTACTACATTGATACGTATCTGGTAACACTATGAGACTGCTTCTTCCTGAACAAAATATATGACAATACCATACCTTGACTTAGTAGATTATATGAGCCGTGTCACGACAAAACCAACATAATGGGTTTGCAACCAGCATGGATCCAGACCAGCCTGCGCATCCATGCAGTCTGATCAGGATCCATGCTGTTGGCTTACCAACTCTACTACAAGTAGATAAACTGATAGCGAACTGCATGGATCCTGATCAGACTGCGCGGACGCGCAAGCTGGTCTGGATCCATGCTGGTCGCAAACCCATTATGTTGGTTTTGTTGTGACACGGCTCATATCTTGATGCATGGTCATGAGCTCTGTAAGTTTTAACTTGAAGCATTTGAGTCTAGGAGGTTTTAATTTGAGGCATTTTAGTCAGGTAGGTTTTATCCTGAGGCGTTTTTAATCTAAGAGGGTTTTATTTTGAAGCATGCTCATGAACCCTGTATGATTTACTTTAAAGCATTTGAATATTTTAGGTTTGTCTTCAAACATGCTCAGTAGTATAAGAGGTGTTTAACCTTGGGCTTGTAATGCTCACACTTTTACCAGTGGTTATGTGCGCCACTTCTCCGATGGGGCTTATTATGAATTTATCAGTGCAAATTATGAAAATTTGTGTTTGTGTTTGAAAAAGTCTTTGACAATAGTAAATCAGTATGATTTATACACTTTTCAGCAAAGGAAGAAGATGTAGTGCTGATAGCACAGTGGATGGCATGTTTGTATCGTAGCTTGGATGAGTTTCATCATGAAGATACCATATTAAACACACTGAAGTCATGTCGTATAATGCCCTTGGCCAGTGGAGAACTTGTAGCTTTAAAAGATAAAACAGTTTTCTATCCTGAAGATAATACCACGAAAAAGAAAAAGCCTTCTGGTATGTTAAAATATCTTCCTTTTTTTTTACATTTAGTTAGTTTTATGTTTCAAGTGATTTTCTACTCTTTTTTGCCCCAGCTTAAAAAGTGGGAGCATGCTGTGATGGCCAGAAGAGTAGATGACCCTTTTGATTTTGAGGTAATTTGGTCAAAGGTCAGGTCACCATGGCCTTAAGATTAAAAGCTTTGTCTGACCAATAACTAGGGAATATTTATAAGTGTGGGGGTTAGTGAAGGCTAGTAGATGACCTCAATTGATTTTATATATTGTATTTTATTTGCTTAAAAGCTATTTGATAAAAAATAAAGTTTTCCAAATTGAATATAAATTAATACAAAAGGTGCTTCATGTAAAACCTCAAAGTTAATGCAGTATTTTATTGATTGAGACAAAATAATGATTTAAACCAAATTTTGTAAAATGGACTTGCCTTGAATTGAATTTGGAACTGATCATTTTAAATTTCATTAGGAGTTTCAATGTAAAGCAGCGAGCAGTATAGTTTTATGTATAGATTGTATAGATATGCAGCTTAGCTTAGCTCTACACTGGTGGTGTAGACCTGTCAATAATTTAATTATAGCTGACGGAGTAAATGTATGATTTCAGAGACGTTATCCCTGATTCATCAAGATGTGAACAGTCTGAACCCATTGTTGATGAACACAGATGATGATGAGGTGAACAGTCAGGTTCACAAACTCTTGTTACGACTAGGAATTAAACAGTTGTGCCCCTTTGATGTGATTAATTATCATATGTTACCTGTGCTGAGGACGAATGCACTGGAGGTAACGTATAAAGATTGTGTACAGATATTTCTCAAAATTGAAATAATATTTCATGTTATATAAATATTGTTTTGGTACATGTTTTAAAAGTGAAGTTAAGTTATGTAATCAGTATCTGTCAAAGATCTTGTTCAGTATTCCATTTATATGTTTGAGATAAGGTGTTTCCTGTTTTCTATTTATACATTTCAGCAAAGCACTGCTCTATTGTCCATTTATATGTCTCAGCTAAGCTCTGTCCCATTTTCCATTTACAAGTGTCAGTTAAGCTCTGCTTCGTTTTCCATTTACAAGTGTCAGCCAAGCCCTGCCCTATTTTCCATTTACAAGTCTCAACTAAACTCTGCCCTATTTTCCATTTACAAGTCTCAACTAAACTCTGCCCTATTTTCCATTTACAAGTCTCAGCTAAACTCTGCCCTATTTCCATTTACAAGTCTCAGCTAAGCCCTGCCCTATTTTCCATTTACAAGTCTCAACTAAACTCTGCCCTATTTTCCATTTACAAGTCTCAGCTAAGCCCTGCCCTATTTTCCATTTACAAGTCTCAACTAAACTGTGCCCTTTTTTAGCTCACCTGTCACAAAGTGACAGGGTGAGCTTTTGTGATCGCTTTTCGTCCGGCGTCCGTCCGGCGTCCGTCCGTAAACTTTTACTTTAAATGACATCTCCTCATAAACCACTAAGCCAATTTCATCCAAACTTCACAGGAATGTTCCTTTGGTGGTCACCTTTAAAAATTGTTCAAAGAATTTAATTCCATGCAGAACGCTGGTTGCCATGGCAACCGAAAGAAAAAACTTTAAATATCTTCTTTTAAAAAAACAAAAGAGCTAGAGCTTAGATATTTGGCATGAAACATCTTCTAGTGAGTGTCTACCAAGTTTGTTCAAATAAAAGCCCTGGGGTCAAAATTGGCCGCCCTGGGGGGGTCATTGATTTTCCCTATATGCATATAGTAAAAACTTAAAAAATCTTCTTTTTAAAGAACCCAAAGAGCTAGAGCTAAGATATTTAGCATGAAACATGTTCTAATGGGTGTCTACCAAGTTTGTTCAAAATAAAAGCCCTGGGGTCAAAATTGGCCCCGCCCCGGAGGTCATTGATTTTCCCTATATGCATATAGTAAAAACTTAAAAAATCTTCTTTTAAAGAACCAAAAGAGTTAGAGCTAAGATATTTAGCATGAAACATGTTCTAATAAGTGTCTACCAAGTTTGTTCAAATAAAAGCCCTGGGGTCAAAATTGGCCCCGCCCCGGGGGGTCATTGATTTTCCCTATATGCATATAGTAAAAACTTAAAAAATCTTCTTTTAAAGAACTCAAAGAGTATGGCTAAGATATTTAGCATCAAACATGTTCTTATAGGTGTCTACCAAGTTTGTTCAAATAAAAGCCCTGGGTCAAAATTGGCACTGCCCGGGGGTCATTGATTTTTTCTTATATGTGTATAGCAAAAAACTTAAAAAATCTTCTTTGAAAAAACCCAAATAGCTAGAGATAAGATATTAAGCATGAAACATCTTTTAGTGAGTGTCTACAAAGTTTGTTCAAATAAAAGACCTGGGGTCAAAATTGGCCCCGCCCCGGGGGTCATTGATTTTCTTTATATGTGTATAGCAAAAACTTAAAATCTTCTTTGAAAAAACCCAAATAGCTAGAGTTTAGATATTAAGCATGAAACATCTTCTAGTAAGTGTCTACAAAGTTTGTTCAAATAAAAGCCCTGGGGTCATAACTGGCCCGGCCCCAGGGGTGTCCTTGTTTTTAACTATATGTGTATAGTAAAAACTTTAAAAAAATCTTCTTTTAAAAAGCCCAATGAGCTAGAGCTTAGATGTTTAGCATGAAACATCTTCTTATGGGTGTCTACCAAGTTTGTGCAAATAAAAGCCCTTGGGTTAAATTGGCCCTGGAACGTTGGGGGTGGGGGTTGGGGGGCCTTTATACAGGTGAGCGACCTTAGGGCCATCATGGCCCTCTTGTTCCATTTACAAGTCTCGGCTAAACTCTGCACTGTTTTTCATTTACAAATCCTGGCTAAGGTCGGCCCAGTTTTCTATTTAAATGCCCCAGCTAAGCTCTGCCTCATTTTCCATTTAGGTGTCTTGGCTAAATTCTGCCCTGTTTTCCATAAGGCTTGACCCTCTTTTCCATTTATATGTTACATCTAAACTCTGATTTACCCACAATATGCCCTTAGGAGAAATGTGACTTAAAAGTGTTAATGAGCACTAATAAGTCACTATTAATATAATAAAATAATACAATAAAATCCCACCACTGTTATCAGATAAATATTTATACTGTATCTGTATTGAATACAGACATTAGTTGTTAAGTACATGTAATGGAAATTTTGTTAAACAAATTAACAACTTTTTTTTCAGACGAAATCAGCTGAAACACTAGTTGCATATCTGGTATACATCAAAGAACAAACAGAGAAACAGTCGTCTGTCTGCAACCTTGAGGAGATCAAGGACGTTGCCATGGTGAAGACCAATCAGGGCTTCAAAATCCCGGCAAAGGAACCAGTCCATTTTTCACCAAAATACGGAAACCCAGTCAACTTACAGGAAACATTTTTTGGTGAGGGCAAATAAATAATAATCAATGATTACATGTTATGATTTTATGTACCAATGTGTAGGAACATCTGTGTCTCACTCAGCAACATTTAGATTCTAATTTTTACGCCACAACAATTTTAGGACAGAACAGTTTTAGTGCCACAACAATTTTAAGCCATAACATTCGCAACAGTTTTAGGTTACAAAAGTTTTAAGCCACAAATTTTAGGCCACATTAATTACAACAGTTTTAGGCCACATTAATTTTTAGGCCACAACAAATACAACAGTTTTGGGCCACAAAAATTTTAGGTCACAACAAATACAACAGATTTAGGCCCCAGCAAATACAGGCCACATCAAAAACCACAGTTTTAGGTACTTAGTTAAAATTCATAAAGCTGGAATGTCGCCATATGACCTTTACTGTGTCGGTGTGACCTAAAACCCTATCAAACAAACATTCAAATTCATCATGATTGTAGGTAAATAACCAAGACCCATAAATTATGAGTGGATATTTACTGAATTATTCCCCATGATGAAAAAGTATACATGGTTCTTAGACTATCAGAGATGGTCAGACAGGTGGTTCCATGGAAGCAACTCTTTAAACAATTATGAGACAACAAAATCATTATTTCTCTGAAAAGTTGAAACACTGCTTTTGCTATGGTAACAAATACAAAAATGTTTTACTGTGTTCCCCAGGATATGATTGGACACTGTTAGATGATTGCTATTTGCCAGAGGCGTGTTCACAACCAGTTCGTGCTGGTTGGATGGACTTTTTTAAGAAGCTAGGAGTGGAAGAGTTCTTGTCTATTAGACAGACAGAAATTAAACTCAAAAGGGAAGAACTGGTATGTTACATTAAAATTTAATACCAAAATTTTTTATTTGACCTCTTGACCTCTTGTTTGCTGATGACAATTATTGTTGTTTTTTTATCAGCTTTGTAGAGCAACCAAAATTCTTGGTTTGGCGTCCTATGACCTGAACTGTGCTGGTGCACCGTAAAATTAAACCAAACAAAGTAAACAAATATATTGTAGAGCATCAGTGAGATAGATTGCACTTCGAAACCTGACAGATGGTAAACATTTAACTGATAAGATAAGTCTAAGAATTACTCTCTAGAAATGATAATGCAAATGATATTAGACACTTTCAAATATCCATGTGTACAGACTTTTCGGCAATTTTAATGTTATGGTAAGAAAATGCTATCATTGCCTTCAAAAGTTCTTGGTAGTCAAAGAAAAAAATATTTGTTGAAAGAAAAATAATATATAATTATTCTTTAATAGTTTAAATATACTTATGGCAGTTTTTGGAAGAGATGTCTTTATTTTTAGCTCACCTGTCACAAAGTGACAGGGTGAGCTTTTGTGATCGCTTTTCGTCCGGCGTCCGGCCATCCGTCGTCCGTCCGTAAACTTTTACTTTAAATGACATCTCCTCATAAACCACTAAGCCAATTTCATCCAAACTTCACAGGAATGTTCCTTTGGTGGTCACCTTTAAAAATTGTTCAAAGAATTTAATTCCATGCAGAACTCTGGTTGCCATGGCAACCGAAAGAAAAAACTTTAAATATCTTCTGTTAAAAAACCATAAGAGCTAGAGCTTAGATATTTGGCATGAAACATCTTCTAGTAAGTGTCTACCAAGTTTGTTCAAATAAAAGCCCTGGGGTCAACATTGGCCCCGCCCCGGGGGTAATTGATTTTCCCTATATGCATATAGTAAAAACTTAAAAAATCTTCTTTTAAAGAACCCAAAGAACTAGAGCTAAGATATTTAGCATGAAACATGTTCTAATGGGTGTCTACCAAGTTTTTAAAAAAAAAGTCCTGGGGTCAAAATTGGCCCCGCCCCGGGGGGTCATTGATTTTCCCTATATGCATATAGTAAAAACTTAAAAAATCTTCTTTTAAAGAACTCAAAGAGCTATGGCTAAGATATTGAGCATCAAACATTTTCTAATAGGTGTCTACCAATTTTGTTCAAATAAAAGCCCTGGGGTCAAAATTGGCCCCGCCCCAGGGGGTCATTGATTTTCCCTATATGCATATAGTAAAAACTTAAAAAATCTTCTTTTAAAGAACCAAAAGAGTTAGAGCTAAGATATTTAGCATGAAACATGTTCTAATAAGTGTCTACCAAGTTTGTTCAAATAAAAGCCCTGGGGTCAAAATTGGCCCCGCCCCGGGGGTCATTGATTTTCCCTATATGCATATAGTAAAAACTTAAAAAATCTTCTTTTAAAGAACTCAAAGAGCTATGGCTAAAATATTTAGCATCAAACATTTTCTAATAGGTGTCTACCAAGTTTGTTCAAATAAAAGCCCTGGGGTCAAAATTGGCACCACCCCGGGGGTCATTGATTTTCCTTATATGTGTATAGCAAAAACTTAAAAAATCTTCTTTGAAAAAACCCAAATAGCTAGAGTTTAGATATTAAGCATGAAACATCTTCTAGTAAGTGTCTACAAAGTTTGTTCAAATAAAAGACCTGGGGTCAAAATTGGCCCCGCCCCGGGGGTCATTGATTTTCTTTATATGTGTAAAGCAAAAACTTAGAATCTTCTTTGAAAAAACCCAAATAGCTAGAGTTAAGATATTAAGCGTGAAACATCTTCTAGTAAGTGTCTACAAAGTTTGTTCAAATAAAAGCCCTGGGGTCAAAACTGGCCCCGCCCCAGGGGTGTCATTGTTTTTAACTATATGTGTATAGTAAAAACTTTAAAAAAATCTTCTTTTAAAAAGCCCAATGAGCTAGAGCTTAGATGTTTAGCATGAAACATCTTCTTATGGGTGTCTACCAAGTTTGTGCAAATAAAAGCCCTTGGGTTAAATTGGCCCTGCAACGTTGGGGGGTGGGGGTTGGGTGGGCCTATATACAGGTGAGCGACCTCAGGGCCATCATGGCCCTCTTGTTTAAGATGAAAGTTAGAAATGTTTTCAGTCTGAAAATAAAATAATGTTGTGTTTTTCCCCTTAAATATATATCAGATTGATTCACCATGGAGTGAGGAGAGCACATCATGGCAAGTCGAAAAGTCCGAGTTTATTATACATGATTATCAGTGTGCGGAGCTTGAGGGTCTAATTACACGGAACCAGGCCACCAGCAGGGAAGATTATGCCAAGCAGATGAGAAGTTTGTGTACGTACCTGGACAAAAACTGGGAAAATAATTTATCTAAGTATTGTTTGACCCATGTTCATGATAAAGATGGAATTCCTATTAAAGAAATAGATACTTCATTCAGTAGTTTGCTGAAAACTGCATCATGGTTGCGGCGATCCAAACAGATACAACTTATGATATAGTGGAAAATGTTACTC